CTTTGTTTTATTTTACTTTTTTATTTAGTTTTATTTGTATTTATTTATTTATTTTATTTTTTGTCACTTCTGGTTTTATTTTATTTATTTATTTAGTTTATTGTCACTTGGTTTTATAATATTTATTTATTTGTATTTATTTATTTATTTTATTTATTTATTGTCACATGGTTTTATTATATTTGTTTATTTATTTTATTTTCTGTTTGTATTTTATTTATTAATTTATAAAATTTTCAGTTTTTATTGTATTTATGTATTTTATTGTAATTTCTGGTTTTATTATAGTTATTTATTTTAAATTTTTATTTATTCTATTGTCATTCCTGGGTTTATTATATTTATTTTATTTACTTATTTTACTTTTGTCATTTCTGTTTTATTATATTTATTTATTTATTTTTTATTTTTTGGTCATTTCTGTTTTATTAATTTTTTTAAATGTTCTGTTTTATTATGTTTATTTTATTTATGTCATTTATATTTATTTGTTTTATTTATTGTCACTTGGTTTTACTATATTTATTTATGTATATTTCTTGTCGTTTTTGCTTTTATTATAGTTATTCAGTCTATTTATTTTATTGTCATTTCTGGTTTTATTTTATCTATATTTATTTATTATATTGTCATTTTTGGTTTCATTATAGGTATTCTTTGTGTTTATTGTCATTTCTGGTTTTATAATATTTATTTATTTTATCTATTTATTCATTCATTCATTTGTTTATTCATTCATTCATTACATTTATCATGTTTTCTTATTTTATTTCAGATTTTTTCAGCTCTAACCTGGTAAGTCCTCTCACCTTTTTCTTTTCATCTGTTTATTTGTATGATTAATCTGCTTCATCTGTTTGCTTAACCACAACACAAACCACACACACACACACACAAAATAAAAACATTCAGAAATGAGCTTCTGTAGATTGAACCAAAATTGAATTGAGCTCTCAAGAGAAATCACAGAAAAAAGCTGGTCTCTTATCTGAAGTATGTCTGACTGCTATCTCGCACTCTTCTCCCGTCCACAAATGACTGACATCCCGCAAGCAAACAGTCTTAACTGGACCTGTCAGAACACGAGTACACCTGTATTGTGTGAGGAAAAGGAAAGAGAGTGTGTGAAGGAACACAATAATCACAGGCTGAGCTGCTTATCTCCACAGATGCAGCAGAAGCTTTGCTCTTTGCTCTCTGCGTTTTTGACCATTGTGCTGCTTGAGTAAATTTGCTCTCGGCCCAAGGGAATCCGAACCCCACCCTGCTTCCAAAAAACTCTCCATCACCCTTTATCTGTCTGTCTGTCGGCCTTTGAAATGTCTCACACCTTCACACAAACCCTGAAATCTTAATAAACATTTCACTATAAATGTTCCCATGTGGATAATCTGAGATTTGGAAATATATGGAAATTACATACAAGTCCATATTTGGATCAAATATATGACATATGTGCAACATATATTTCACAATATTACAAATATTATAGCATTATACTATCATAAACATTATTATACTATTATTAGTGCTGTCACAAGATTCATTGTAATTAATTGTATACAAAATAAAAGCTTGTATATTTGTACTGTGCATATTATAAAGATGAGAAATATATAAATAAATATATATGGGAAAATGTGTATTTATATTTATAAATTGAATATATCTAATAGAAATTATATGCATGTTTTTTTCTTACAATTATTTTATGTTTTCTTTATTTATACACAATATTTATACACAGTGAAAAATCAAACTGAGGATCTGAGAATCCTTGTTGCAAACTTGCGTGTGTGTTCAAGAAAGCAACCATTCATTTGTGTTGTGTTTTATTTCTATTTGTTTATATTCATTTATTCATCATTTAATTATTTCATTTAATCATGTGATCCTTAGTCATTTATAATATCCATATATCATTTTATTGATCATAAGTTATTGATTTGATTATTATTTGTCATTTTATCATGTTTTTTGTATTTTATGATTATTTTTTCTTAGAATTATTGCTTTATTATTATTTTTTCATAATATTATAATCTTATGACTATAGGGCCAGACAGAATCTGCTGACATTTTTTGCCATTTCTGTGAAAAATTTTGTAAAACAAATTAGCACATTTAAGTGGAATGATTTTAGGAATATCGTAACTCTTAAAACTCACATGTGAAATAAAAAATAATAAATTTGTAACTTTTATTTAGTTTTTACAATGCAAAATCAAATTAGATCCACTCATTTGATAAACAAAGCAAGCATCTCATTTAATATGACTATACTAAAAGACAGAAAATATTGCTTTACAAACTGTATCATAAATAAATCATGTGAACTTTTGAATATTACTATTATTATGTCACTACAATATTAGTGAAATTAATTTATTTAAAAAGTGAAGAAATATAAATGTGCTCATATTTACTCAACTAAATAAATACTCGATGATGGCCTGAAAAACTGGAAATCTGCGGATCTCTGCGCGCAGATTCCATGTGGGCCTACTTATGACTGTGTGGATTCAAGCGACACTTATTTTCATTAATAAGAGAATGTTCTAACAACAGTGAGTATACACACTATGTAAATACAAACTTTAATTTTAGATTGCGATTAAACTTTTGATAGCGCTAAAAATATTTATCATTTACATAATATTATACTTATATATTTATTAAACATTAGATCTACAAAAAAATAAACATTAAATTTATATATATATATATATATATATATATATATATATATATATATATATATGTATATATATATGTATGTATGTATGTATGTATGTATGTATGTATGTATGTATGTATGTGTGTGTGTGTGTGTGTGTGTGTGTGTGTGTGTGTGTGTGTGTTTGTTTCTCCTTACACATATATAAAATCCAAATTTGAACTTATATGTTATAGATGTAATTTACATTTATTGCCATATATCAGATTTCTGTGGGGTGGAAAAGCTCAAAAGGGAGGTAGGGTGGCCAGATGTGTTCCTGTTTGGATAATCCCAACTTTGGTGTCTTGTCCCAGACTTTAATTTTTTTTTTTTATATATGTTTTATTTATTTATACACTATTTATACAGGGTGAGTATACACACATTATGTATATGTAAATATGTAAAAGCTAACTATAGCTTATAGATAAATATAGCTAATATTATGTTATATTAGCTAAAATTATACATGTGAAATCCACATGTTCAGATGTAATTTCCATTTATTACCATATATCAGATTTTTATGTGGTGAAAAAGCTCAAAAAGGGAGGTAGGGTGACCAGATGTGTTCCTGTTTTCTTTGGATAATCCCAATTTTGTTGTCTTGACCCAGACTGCAGCTGTTTTTATCGACAATATAAAATATGACATGTATCGTCCCCATTTTTCATACTCGCATAATCACAAGTGATATTTCGTTGCAACTAGAAAATGTTTAAGAAATCTGGTCAACACAACGTAATGCCATCTCCTGGCTTTCAGGAAACAACCCATGCTAGCACACTGTTTGCTAGATAACAGATTAAAGAGCAGGTTTCAACGAAAGAGAAAAAAACTTGTATTTCCAATGTCAGGGACCCTGCACCCCCTGCTATCGGGCTGTTTGCTGTGCTTTTCTTTCCAGGCCATTGGTATGTATGTTTAGGAATTCTAATCTTATCTGAGTATCTCCCTACATTAACATCTGTTATGCTGCAATTACCATATACATTAGTCGACACCTGTTTCGCTTAAACCTATTTAATTACGGCGATTGTGCTGGTTTGTTGTGGCCAAAAACAAAGTCATCCCCTTTTAATGTTCGGTCACAATACAGCCAAATAATTCATAGAGCAAGATCGTTGTGAACTGAAGGAGTTCTTTGCAACCATGCGGGAAGCATTTAAAACAATTAGAAATAAATAAATAAAAAATATAAATGATATAAATATAAATAAAAAACGGGTGTAAAAAATTTTAAAAGGCTGTTATTTTCTGTCAATACAGACGTGATATGCGCTGTGCCGTGTAGATTACGTTACAGTAACGTTCAAAGTTGATCGAAACATTTTATTAAAGTTGTTCTTAAACTATTGAGCAACACTCATTCTTGTCTTAAGACAATTTTGATAAACCTTTTTTGATCCACTGCAGATGTTGACTACTTTAAATATTTTAAAATAGCCGTAATACTTTTAGCTATTTGAAGCTACACTAAGTAGCCTAACAAAGATATGTTGATAATTTAATGAAAGCTAAACAGTCATGTCAAATCAAAGCAACTTAATTTTTCAGATCTGTTTTAATTAGTTAAACCTTTACAATTTTTTCCTGCGTTTTTTAAGCCCATGCAGACATCAGCACCGTGTTGCTAATCAAATTCTGATAATGGTTCGTCATGTCGTGTCTTGTATCGGTTTGCTCAGACAAAAAGATGAAAAGGTCTCAGTAAGATAGAAAAAAGTTTATTCTGAGACGATAATGTGCGACACTTAGGTGTTCCGATGGCTTTTCAATTGTTTCTCGCGGCTGAGCTTCATTTAGGCCCTTTACAGTGTAATGAATGTGTCAAATCACTCGGTCAAGATTAAACATCTACAGCAAATCCAAAATAAGAAACATATTTTAACCAGATAATATAGCAACAAAATATTGTTTGCTTACGTTTTGGACTTATAATAATTATCTAGTTTTAAACAGACGAATTGTATACATGTATCCACTATGTAATGGATTTAAAAGTTAATGAAGTCCAATCAAACGCTGAATCCATCATCTCTAGAAAATGAGAATTTCAAACGATGCCCTACTTTGTTCACTCCTCAGTACGGATAAGCATGAGATAATCATCGTGAGTTTAAAGACTTTTAGATGCCGTTAAAAGGAACAACCGAAGTTCTTTGAAGGGATTTAGTCCCAGTGAAAGCCTTTGGACCGCAGCTGTCAATCAACCGCCCTGGCTCCGCCTACATTCGCTGCTCCTCCTATAAAGTGCGCCCGTGAACTCGAGTGTCATTTAAACACCAGAGCTCAGGGAGTAAGGATGCCTGCTTCATCAACGGGGTTTGCAAACTTCTTCATGGACAGAAACATCAACATGCCTGCTGGATATCAATTATTAGGCTGCCCACCTGGAATGCAACAGCCACCGCCACATCTTGTGGGAATGGCCGGGATGCCCTTACCTTTCTCAGGAATACCGGGCTACAGTTTCATCCCTTATCCTCATCCGGGACACATGGCACACATTGTAAGTAGTATTTTGACTGATTTCTAATATATGTGCATTAAAAAATAAATGTTTATTAATTTTAATTAGGATTAATGCAGGATGAAACACTTTTCGCAATGATATTTATATTCTAAAATACTTCATGCTTACTTTCAGAGCAATTCCTATGACCTCAAGGCTGCATCGCCGTATCACCAAGCTCTCCTCGGACGGGGAGGACCATACTACACCCCGTATCGTCCCATCCCAGCTGACGACCCCAGTCGGGTCACTAAAGTTGCCACCCGGGAAAGCACCAGCGCTTTGAAGGCCTGGCTCAGCGAGCACCTGAAAAACCCATATCCCACCAAAGGCGAGAAGATCATGCTTGCCATCGTCACCAAAATGAGCCTGACGCAGGTGTCGACGTGGTTCGCCAATGCGCGCCGCCGGTTAAAAAAAGAGAACCGGGTCAGCTGGGCGTCCAAAGGAAAATCTGACGAGGAGGATGAGGAAGAAGAGGGTGAGAGCGAAGAGGAAGGGTCTTTGAGGAAAGGCACTGAGGATGAAGATGAGATCGATCCTCAAACTGTTGACGATGAGGATGAAGAGGATGTCGTGGTGTCAAAGTCGGTGGAGCACCGTTTAGCGGGGGGACTCGAGCAGCAAAAGGAAAGTGACAAGTCTGACACTTTGACCAAAAGAGAGTCGTATAAACAAATCGCTGATGTCCAGAAACCTAAGATCTGGTCTCTGGCGGAAACGGCGACCTCAGATATCGTCAAGAAACCCAGCGATTTGAAACATCTCCAGACAAGTCCAGATTTCGGACAGTGGTGGGCTGGATGGCCTTCAAGGGACTCGTACTCTCCTGTAAACCTCTCCACACACGACCTTCTCAAACAAAGTCAATGAAACCAAGACACTACAGACTGAATATTTCTTGCACTTTGAGTCCGTCAGGAACGTTTTGTTGTTGGATGTTTGCATAACAGATTTTGAATCCAATCTCCTGGTTTAAAAACCAAAGGATGTTGTGTAAATATTGTACAGCTATTTTGTTTAAATTATAAATGCATTTACCAGCTGACTTATTTTTGCTAAAATAAAAATGTGGAAAAATTGAAAGTTTTGATCACGGTTGATGTTGTATCTTACGAAAATAAGCTATGGGTTTATTACAAATTAAACAAAATTATTAATCCTTATCCAATGCACCAAAACTACACTAAAACATATGATTAATAAGTCTTGACAGCATATGTTTTAGGTCATTACTACCTGTTAAACTAAGTAAATCATGTTCTAACTTAATATTATAAGTTACGCCAGCTGTTTTAAGTCAGTTTAACATTGGCTAAGTTCAATGGACACAAGGTTAATTTGATTCAGCTTAAAATATTAAGGCAACCAGGATTTTTATTTTACAGTGTAGTAGGCCTATTAAAATAAAACTGTTTTGATTTGCATTAATTTTAGCTTGATGATAGCCTATTTAGCATGTTAGGGATGTAAACAAAAACAGTGGTCCCAACATATTTCATGTTTTACATGTTTAATTTCTATAGCTTTCGAGGATCCTCAAAGAGCCACACATTGATAAATAGGCTAATGTTATGATAGCGGATTTAAAATTAAGTAATGATTGAATTGCCTCTTGATAGAGTTATGAAATAGTTTGATCACAAGCAGGAAATGTTAATAAGCTAATGACATGACCACATCGAAATGGTGTATAGACTTTTTAATAAAAAAGACGCGGAAACAATTAGATTTTACGTGTTTATAGCACCTAATGACGAAAATACAACATAAACTCAGCATTTTAATACAAAGTTCTTATTTTAAGCATAAAACTACATTCAAAGTAAAAACAGGTTGACTAAAACCTTTATAAAAAAAAAACAGGCCGACAACTTTTATAAAATGGCGACAGCAGCAACTTCATTAAACGCATTTTTTTTTAGCTCGGGTTAGCTAATCAAATTTGTTGAATACAGTTGTATTAAACGAATCATGTATTAGCACAACTGCTTATCTAATCAGCATTTTATAAAATTGTGAGATTTACAGTTCTCTACACATTCACAGTAAACGTTTAAAAGATAAAGGTGTACACAATCAAACTTTATACATGATAATTGAGTGGAATTCGTTGATTTTGGAGGCAGATCAAGACGCGTTCAAAGCGTTTCACTTCAAGGCTGGATTTAGGCTTCATGTTATCAGCGAGGACACTACTATTAAGGGATTTGCATATCTCGCTCTGATCTGTTAAAACAATCCAAAGCAGCGCGGATTAAGGACTTGAATTGTTCCGTCTTAAAGGGTGATAATTAAGATTATTCTCCTGTTTAGTCACGACTTGACAGACCAAAAGTGCCAGAGGCTTCTACCTTCAGCCTCATTTATTGTTGTAGGATCAAACATGAACAAAAAGTGACCTGTGAGAAATAAGTATAGTGTAGGCTTAAAGAAGTCAAGTTCAAGATAAAATATTAAAAAGTGCCTGAACCTGAAGGATTTTATATTAGTATAATTAAATAATGGCGCGATTTTATTCAAAGTAATCATCAAGGTAACAATATTAATTTGATTTATAAATTAACATAAACATTTAAGAAACAGCAGGTAACATTTTTTTATTTGTCACCATACTTCACCAGTAATTTATTATTTTAACATTTATTAATGTTTTACAAAATTTTCCTTAATAATAATTGTTTAAATAAATATTCAATAATTTGCAAACATTTCAACCACAAAAATCTCAACAATTTTGTTTATTTTATTATTTTAAAGAAATTAGTGTAAAAAATATTAATTATAATTCAAATCCACAGATAGAAACAAAAAAATTGTGATAAAAAAAACAATTAAGGGTATATTGTGTTTTTGTTTTCTCATTTGACTGAAATAAAAAAATTAAATAAAAATATGAAGCCCAAAATCGAACGAAAAGTGCATGCAATTGAAATATAAAGTGCATATTTCACCAATCATACATAGTTGTGGACTGTCACTCTTAAAATGATCAAGTAATAAAAAGTAAAATATGGAGAAGCATAAACAGAAAATCTTGCATGCATTGGTTTCTTTTATAAATCTTTCTGACACAACACCAATGGGATTAGGCCTTAGGACAATATTCTGTTTTTGCGGCCTCCCCTCTGCAGAGGCAATGATAAAAGGAAAACTCTTGCTTGCCAATCACTGTGGCCTCCATGTAAATTCAAAGGCCTGTGGCCTGTTAATCCAAGGATAATGAGAAAACCCCTGGGTACAAAAAAGAGCACCTCCCATCCACCCCCAAGCACATATTCACAGCTAACACACACTGGGCACAACAATCTCCTCCATGCCCCCTTTTCACTGGTCCAAATGATGTGTAATCCTAGTCTAAACATGACAGGCAAAAGGCTGTGATATTGAGATAAGGATTGAGGTGCTGAACAATGGCGTGAGATACAATGGCTAAATCGGCCATCAATGTGTCACACAAGAGCCTCCTGATCCAAACATATGCTCATATTCTTTAGATATATGGGCCGGTTTATAGTTCAACAAGCTGCTCTTGTGTTTGTTTGTTTAGATGTGCAAAACTTTATATCAGCTTTTGCATTGAGAACGGCCAGTTGTGAATCAATGTTTCTATGATTTAGCATTCTCTTCCTCTTCAAAAAAAAAAAAAAAAAAAGGTTAAAATGAATTTTTTACTGTGTAAAAGTGAGATTTACAAGTTTACCCCAACTTAAAAATCATTTATTTACCCTCAAAATGTTTCTAAACCTGTTTTCTCTATTGAACATGAAAGAAGATTGTAAACCCGGCTTCCAACATTTTTCGGAGTATCTTCTTTTGTTTTTTAAAAAACTTAAACAAGTTTGGAAGCTCTTGAAGGTGAGTAAATGGTAAGCTTTCATTAGAAAAAACATATCTTTAGGTAAAATTGCTCAAATGTGGAAATGGCATCCTCTTGTGGACAGTGAGAGTATCCCACATAGAGTCTGTCAGACACGATGGCTCAGTGGTTAGCACTGTCGCCAAACATCAAGAAGGTAGCTGGTTTGAGCCCCGGCTGGGTCAGTTGGCATTTCTGTGTAGAGTTTGCATGTTCTCCCTGTGTTGGCGTGGGTTTCCTCCCGGTGCTCCGGTTTCCCCCACAGTCCAAAGACATGCGCTATAGGTGAATTAAAAAGCCAAATTGGCCATAGTGTATGAGTGTGTGAATGCAAGAGTGTATTGGTGTTTCCCAGTACTGGGATGCAGGCTGTAAGGGCATCCGCTGCGTATAACATATTCTGGATAAATTAGTGGTTCATTCTGCAGTGGCAACTCCTAATTAATAAAGGGACTAAGCCAAATGAAAATGAATGGATGATAATGTGGACATTTAACACATTGTAAGTAGAAAATATATGAGAGAATCAGGAAAGTTTAATATTATGTACAGGTTTTATTCAACGAAACAGGCAAAAAACAATCACAATTACAAATCTGTACAAAAACTTTACACACATATATATACAGGTTTCCCAGTCCCTAAAAATTTGAAAAAAATTAAATAGATAATATTGTACAAGCCTGTAGCCAGCCTGGTGTGTGTGTGTGTGTGGGAGGGGGGTTCTTTCTCTCAAAATGTAGACCTTTTAGCAGTTTTTCCTCTTCATTTTCTGTTTAATTATGAGATTTGAATACGGTATTTTAGTACTGTATTTAGCGGACATTTTAAGAGCCATTGTTTTGCTGGATTAGCTAGTTGGATGGTCATCATAACCACACTTTTTGATATAATATATAATATTTCCTAAAGATTTATAAAGAAAAATGAAAACATATTTTTAAAATACACATTTATTACATCATATATTATTAGAAAAAAAAGTAGTACTCTGTTTAGGTTTTACATTTAAAACTGTAGCCTATTGTCCTTTATTAGGCAAATAACAAACTGGCTAGCACATTCAACTGTCCTCAGTCAGAATTTGGCCATTATAATAAAAAAAAAATAATAACATAATAATAACAATAATATAATGTAGAGCTTCATGATTTTTTCAGCCTCTTTTGTAAAGAAAAAGAAAGTACATAACAACAATAACCAAAATATATTAAAAATAATTTAATATGGGTCGCTTTTGGTGCTTCACACATTTTTTATTTTAAGAATAAGGTCCAAGATTTAGAATAAAAGTTACCTGTAAAATGTTTTCTCTGTTTAAAAACAATACAGTAGCGAAAGATGACTTCTCTTACATCAGAAACAATTAAAATATTTGTTAGCATTGGCCATGACTAGGGCCAGATGGAATCTGCAGACGTTTTTTGCCATTTCTGCTGAGAATTTTGATAAAAATTTGCAGAATTAATTTTGGGAGTATCATAACTAAAATCTTAATATGCGAAATAAAAAAATAATATCTTTTTAACTTTTTTATATTTAAAAGAAAATCCAATTAGATCCACTTTATTTGGTAAACACAGCAAGTCTCTCATATAATATATCTACTAAAAGACAGAAAATATTACTGTACAAACTTCAGTGTACATAAATCAGATGAACATTTTCACATTAGTTAATAATATTACTGTAATTCCTTTAAAAACTGAATACATATAGATTTACACACATTTACTCGAGTAAATAAACAGAATTAATGATGGGCTGAAAATCTGTGGAATTCTGTGGGCACAGATTCTGTGTGGGCCTACCCATAACTGATTAGCTGAAGTCATGCCGAAGAGACAGCCAACAGAGGATTCCGCTTGGTCTTAAAGACTTCTACGATGGGTTATTTGCACTATTTATAATAGCATAGCAGTCAAAATAGGACAAATGAGCTCATGTATAGGACAAATTCTGGACCTCTGTCAGTAAGGGCTGGGTCTTTCAAACCACCAGAGCCCCCTGGCTATTTTTAAAAATTAATATATATATATATAAAATTTTTTTTCTTGAAAAAAATTGTTAGGCTCTTACCATAGGGTTTGCTAATGTGTTACTTTCCCAACACTTGCTTACACTTCTTACATAGCTTGCTTGACTTATGTAAGCATTTACACAATACATCATGTTTCCTGCATGAGGTAGCCTACTTTATTAATTATGTAACGTTGAATTGCTTTGCTTAATGTAAACACATGAGGTAAGCTAAAAGCATATAGCCTACCTTAAAACTTATGTTTATGTGACCCTAAGCTCTTTTCAATTAATTCCGAGCAAACGTTCAACCAATGTTGTGTTTAATACATAAAAACTGTATCAATGTATCTTATAATTAACACAATGTAACCTTGCTCTTGTGTAAAATGATTCCCTACACAACAAAGTCCTTTAATTTGAAGGTTTGGAAGGAAAGATCATTGAATCTGAATTTAAAAGTGTGGGAACCCTGTATACATGATTTTGTGAAAACAATAACAATACTGTACAATGCTGTTTTTTTTTTTATCTCTGCTAACACTTTGATGTTCTTTAAGGAAAACGTAAACAGAGTAACATTCAAAGTGCACAGTCCTACATAGTGAAATACTTTGAGGTGCACGTGTGTTTGTCCTTTGCATTAAATTGATGTTATTATGATCATTTTAATTCTCATAAGACTACAGATGACTTAAACGAAGAGCTTCATATTTGAAAAAAGTCAACTTTATGCTCATCTTTTTGTTTTAAATACATTTTAAGACTCACAATTTAAAATATTTTCTCCTTGCGACTTATTTATTTATTTTTTGACTATTGTGAGTTCAGTATTTTGCAGATCTGACTTTATACTTCATTGAAATAAAGTGGCAATGCTGAGAAAAAGGCTGCATGTCAATTTCTGTAAATCAGATGTTCTCCCAAACAATCTTCCCTGAATTTTTAAGTGTAAGACAGCACTAGTGTCCTTGTAACATCTGCTGATATATAGTTTCTATGTCATTATTTTAACTGTGTATTTATTGTGTTACCAGATCATGAGCCAACAGCAGCGTTTCACAGCAATCCCAGCGTGCATGTGGAACTACAACGGCAAACATGCTCAGCAACAGTGAGTACTTTATATCTGGCATCACAAAGACCACTTATAAATGCTAGAGAAGTTGAATGCTGATTTTTAGAGTAAAGCAGTGTCTTACCATGTAATGCTAAATATGCTGATGGCAATACCGTGACGGGAGTACAGATGTTTTTATACGCTCTCAGAAATAAATCTGTGAGAGCAGTCACTGGGGGGTTCTATTTTAAAAAGATACACATATGTGCCTGAAGGGTCTATTTTGATACTTCAGAGGGACATACATACTAGTGCAGTACCTAAAATATCACAGTGTTTAATTCTTGAAATGTGTAAGTACTAAAATGTTACTTTAAAGGCTCATTTAAGGGCACATAAGCTCGTTGTACAACTTTTTAAACATCTTTAAATGCATTCTGTTGATCTCCAGGTCTGCTGGAAGCACTTTTAGCTTAGCTTAGCATAAATCATTGAATCGGATTAGACCATTAGCATCTTGATTAATAAATGCAAAAAGGTTTTGATCGTTTTCCTATTGACTCTTCTGTGATTACACCTGTACACGTGTACTAGGGCTGCACAATATATCGTTTCAGCATCGCTATCGCAATGTGCACATCCTCAATACTCACTTCGCAAGGTCTGCAATGTTGAGTTATGATTATGGTTGACCAGGAGACAAGTTCAGAACACATGAGAATCGTGGAGTTATTATGGAGTTAACCAAAATGGAGTGAAAGTTTTTCAGTTGCAAGTTTTTTTAAGGCCCACGACTATCAATGATATTTGGTTTTTGGCCCTTTATACTTAGAAGTTTGGGCACCATTGTTTTAAGGTATCAGCATGGATCCTTTAGGTACAAATGTGTCCCTTTTGAAAATCTAGCGTCCCACTGGAAGCTCTTGTACCTTTATTTCTGAGAGTGTAGAAGTGTTTTGCTTCTATTGGTATGTATTTGACGTTGATTCATGACATGGTATAATGGCATCTTTGCCATGCTCCTGAACAACAAAATTTCCATTTTCTGTCATGTTGCTTAGTGTTGGGCTCACAGGTGCGTTCTCATCCTCCTCCTCAGGCTGTTGCTGGACTGCTATTGTCACATCGTCATCTGGCCTTATTTCCATGAAGGTTTGTTTTTGCAACTAAAAACCAAAGAAATCATTAATAATCACATTCCAAAACCTCTCCTTTAATTTAGGAGAGATGCATGCATTATGTTGCACTGTTGCATGAGATTAAATGCCTCATTTACCTTAAAAAGAGGAGATTTTCCTGGAAGAGAGAAGAAGAAAAATCAAAAGTCATTTATTGATTTGTTTTCATGAAGGTTGTAATTTGATTAGAGTAACTCAGTGCATGAGTACTGATCAAATGTATGTTTTTTATGTCAAATAAAGTCCTCTGTGGCACTTTAGATACATTAACTAGATCATTTATATGTTGCGGTGCTCACCTTTTTTAAAGAAAAGGCATCCAACTAACGCAGCTGCGGCGATTAGGATAAGTAAAACACAAACTACCACAATGACAGCAGTTCTGTCGCGTGTACCCACTGAAAGTTAAAAGCAAAAACACATGAGATTACAATTGGTGTAGAAGCGGTGTTAACATACATTTTCTACTATAAAAACACAAAGTGTACAGAAAACATTCCTGCAGACATAAAACTAAAACAATTACTTTATTTGTATATATATATATTTATATATACACAGTGGTCCCTTGTTTATCGCGGGAGTTACGTTCTAAAAATAACTCGCAATAGGCGAAATCCACAAAGTAGTCAGCCTAATTTTCTACAATTATTATAGATTTATATAATATATACATAGTGTGTGTATTATGAAAGTATTTTAATTATTTCAACTGTGTTTCTAGAAAGACTTACGTTTTTAAAATCTTGAATCTTCTCTAGGCAAATTACAGTTGCAACACTGATCAGACACTCCTATAAAAATTCTCCTGCAGTGAAGGGTTTCCTGTGCATAACTAGCCAGCGTAGAATTTTCTTGCACTTTATTAGCATGAAAAAACTGCTGTTGTTGAGCTGATAAGGCAGCTGCTAATTGTTTTACTTCTTTATCTCGTTCGGCACAAGTGTAAAAGCTGAAGGCCTGATGTTTTGTTTCATAATGTCTTTTAATATTATATTCCTTCATTACTGTAACTGATTCCTGTCAAATTAAACAGATACATTTCCCACTGACCTCTGTGAAGAAATATTCTTTGCCCCAACCTGACTAAAATTTCCTGCTCTGACTGTTGATTTTCCTTTTTCTTGCTTGTGCCATGGCTCGCCAAAACGTGATAATCAATTATGTTTCCTTCAGTTTGTTCGGTTCGTTTTGCTTCATTACAGGAACTGCTGCCTAATTGAAGGCCTGTCATAGCGAAACCCAGTGGTTATTTATTGAATTATGTTTATTTTTGTATAGCGGGCCAGATTCTATTAATATTTATAAAAAGCCTCGCGGGCCGCCACAAAACTGATTGCGGGCCGCAGATGGCCCGCGGGCCGTAGTTTGGACACCCCTGTTATAGATGTTTTAAGGCTGTAAACCCCTCACTTCACACTTCATACACTTTTCTCAAACAGGCATTAACATTTTCACAATTTCCTCTCTTGTTTAAACTATCAAAGTTCAAACCCTCGCAGAAAAATAAGTCCAGTATTATAGAATGAAACCAAAGATAAAAATAATTTAATCTTTGTTTATTTATTCCGAAATGGCGCCCTACAGCCTTTTTCTTTAGCATGTCCAGATGTCTAATTTTTTGTGCGATGGTTAGCATCTTCCTCTGCCTTTTGGGTGCTACAGCAGGTGCCTTTGACAGTGCAGAACGTTTCGCCGACATTGTGGGGTGAAAACTTGCAAACATACAATACAGCACTTCAGAGTCACACTGCTAGAGATTGAAGATTAATGTTAATTTGGGAAGCTGATGAACATATTCTGTTCTGTACTGTACAGGAGACAAGGCACAGAGGAGATTGATTGACAATGATCTACAGCCAATCAGAACCCAGAGCACAATGCGCTAATGTCAAATTGCACCAAAAAAAAATCCATGAGACTGTGAAAAGTGCGTTATAGCGAGGGACCACTATTGTTTATATATACATTAAAGATATAAGAAATATTGTAAAATAGTTAGTTGGCTAGTTCACCCAAAATGTGTATGTATACTTAATATAATACTATAAATAAAATACTTAATTTGATTTTAATTTATATATTCTAATAATTTATATTCCTAAACAGGCATGATATTTTATTTTCAAAAGTGTTAACACAAATTTAGCCATACAGGAACTAGAGTTCACAGCTACTCGAGTTTCACTACAGTACTTTCAACACCCACATGAAATCTTTAAAGGTCTCTCAGACCAGCCGCTATTTCCGTTTCGATTTAGAATTTGTATTAATTCGAGACAATGAATGTAGGCGACTGAAAAGCACTTTTTATATTGCACTTACCACAGGTCTGGTCAGACGTTGAACTGCCAGGAGTATCTACTTCTCCGTACTCACATCTACATGGGGAAAATAGATAATTAAATAGTCAGTAAATAAAAATTCTTTTCAAAACTACACACAAGACAAATAAGAAAATAATTGGATTTTTCCCAAAATATAAAAGCATTAATGACAAAAAATATAGCAAACATTAAATATTAAAATATTATTAACAATAAATCTGATTTGAAGTTCAGATAACTGTAAATACTTTATCAGCCATTCATCAGTATTTTGTAGAAAGCATAATACATTTTAAAGTATTTTTTTATAAAACTTTCAAAAAAATAGCTTTTAATTTTTGTTAATTTTATTTTTGCTTTAAAACAGCAATGTTTTGCTAATTATAAATGTTTTACTACCCCATTTTTCAGTTTAATCAACTCTTGCTTAAGAAATGCATTAATTTCTTTAATAAAACCTATGAATAGTATTGTGCATGTTACTAAAATGTGCTGGTGATATCTATAACCTTCTTTATTACAGCTAAATGATTGATTTTTCTGTAAGTACACCTACACCAATCAACTGGTTCCCATGTAGATTGAAATGCCACATCTTTAATTAACGTTTACTATATGAGTAAAAAGGAAGGACATGAAATTAGAGGGATTTCTCATACTTGGTCCATTCCTTGCATGTATCGGCAGAATGATTGGTGGAAAATGTCCCGTCACTACATTCCTCACACACATTATCTCTGATCGGTGAACCTGTGAAAATGCAGGAAAATGACTTAAAACATTGCCAGAGCTTTAAATATGCAAGCTTTTACTCATAAGCTACCACAGTCCAAAGAGTTAGAAACAATGATTATAGTATCTCTAAAACATTAAACAATGGCATTTTATTATCCTGAAGTACAGCACAGAATCAACATTAAAGGGACAGTTCACTTTAAATCATAGGTCTCAAGCTTGATTCCTGGAGGGCCACAGCTCTGCAGTTTTTCTCCAACCTTAATCAAACACATCTGATCCAACTTATCAAGGTATTCAAGACTGCTAGAGACTATTTAGCAGATGAGTGAAGCTGCGGTCACACTAGAGTTTAAACGTGAAATTCTGTCATACGGTGCTGCGAAAAGGGGCGGATTTAAACAGGATGATTAGACATTTTAAAAAACCAAACGATTGGTCCATTTCTGTCAAGAAAGGTCATGTTTTGATCATCGATTGGTCCCACGCAGTCAAGTGATGCAATTTCACAGCTTAGAGTTCACCAAGCTTGAACTTTGCAACGCATCGAACTGCTAAACTTGTCGCACAACCTTGCGCTTCCAGTCTGACGCATTCATTTGCGTATAAATGAAAGTCTATGGGGAGAAAAGTCCAGTGTGACTGCAGCTTTAGAAGTAGGAGGTGGTTGAAGCTAAACTGTGCAGAGCTGTGGCCCTCCAGTAATTGCGTTTGAGACCATTGCCTTAAACAGAACATTCTGTCATAATTTACCCATCCTTCACTTTGACTTTGACTTTCTATCATCAAAAATAGTTATTTAGAAAAATGTTGGAAACCTGTAACCATTGACTTCCCTAGTATTTGTTTTTCCTACTATGGAAGTCAATGGTTACAGGTTTGTAACATTCTTCAGATGCTGATGTTTGATGCTGAATAAATAGTGAGGATCTTTTAATTTTCAGGTGAACTATCCCTTTAAAGCTGCCTCTTATACATTAAACAGAACTAACCTTTAACGGCAACTCTCTGTCCTGGTTCGCAGACTGTGTGTTTCCGACAAACCTCGCATCCATGATCTAGATCACAGTAATATCCGGGCTTACACTGGCATTCATTTCGGCTGGTCTTGTTTGAATTCATTTGTGGCAGAAAATTTAGATCTGATTTAAAAGCAGAAGAAAAAAAAGGTGAGTTCAGATTAAACAGACGCGTTCATCTAAACCATGCTTATTTATCTTTAATTACAATTACCTTTTCTTTTTGTTTTGCTTATAAAATGTCCGAATCATAACTATCAACAATATTTTTTTAACAGTCATTAAAAATGATTTTCAGCCACAATTAATATACTTTAATAGCTAATCTCTAATAATTGGCTTCTTTTATCTTTGCCATGATGGCAGTACATAATATTTGACTAGATATTTTTCAAGATACTAGCATTCAGCTTGAAGTGACATTTAAAGGCTACAGAGGGCTGATAATACTTACATTAAAAGGGTTTAAAATAAAATAAAAACTGCGTTTATTCTAGCCTAAGTAAAACAAATAAGACTTTCTTCAGAAGATAAAATATTATAGGAAATACTGTGAAAAAAAATCCTTGCTCTGTTCAGCATAATTTGGGAAATATTTATATAATTTTGAACTTTATATATATATTATTTTACCTATTATAAAACTGCCTTGGTCAATATTATTAAGAAACTATGCATCCCTAGACTTCCCTAATTAGCCTGTTAATTGCCTAGTAAGCCTAACTTGTCTTCACTCACTGGTGTCACAGCTGGGCTGGCGTTCACATATGGTTTCTTTCGTGTATCCGCTCTGATACTCTCCAACCTCGCATTCCTTACAGCGTGGGTCATCACAGTTGTCGTCCTTCATCATCCTCGTACCTGCAATCATACACTTTCATTTAGACTGTGACATTAACATAGTGAGAGCAATATTAAAGGCCCCATAAAATTAAAATAGTTTTTTTTTTAGATGTTAGCATCAGTATTGTTAGTTTTTAGAATATTTATTATCTAGTGTGCTCCAGAACAGTGACACAATTCACGTTTAGAAGATATAACTACTAGATATAGAAAATATAGAACTTATATAAACATGTTAAGGTTGTAGTTTGTCACTTCCGCCTATAGGGAGCAACAATTTTTTTTACATCACCTCATACTACAATCTTGACCAATCAAATGCTCTCTAGTATCTTACATGCTCCGCCCCCTTTCAAGACGCTTCTGCTTTTCTTTTGAGCTCAACCACTCTCACTGGCAAAGCAGTAATAAAAACAAAACGCTATTGGCTGTTTTTAAAAAGGGGGAGGAGCTACACTATGTCCCACCCTTTCTTCGTGTTTCAGTTGAGATTACGTCAAACATCGAATAAAAAATACATATTTCGAAGCACTCCATGGGACCTTTAAGGAAAGTATGCTGCTATTTATGGATTCATAGCATAGGATGATAGTGTAGCATCTCTTAGGACCACCGTGCTATGTAGTAATTAAATATACATATAGTCTACAACAACATTAAAACAATATATAGAGATAGATAAGAACTAACCGACAGTAGAAATACTGTTAGTTAATGGCTATAAAGTTAGGGTTGTCATGATACTGGAATTCGGAACCAATTCGGTCTATTTTCCACTTACATTTAGCGCTTTCTTAAACACATCGATATTAAAACACGATCTTAAACACTACGATCACCTGTCTGTTGATAAGCTGACATACGAGCGATCCGCTGATGAATTGCAGTTTTAAAACGCTTCAGTGTCCCTGTATTATTGATAGGTCGTTCATGAACGATTCGTTAATTTTGAACGAATCTTCAATATGACTCGGGAACTACGAGTCCTCTCAGGAAGTGATTCGTTAATCCGCGCATGCGCACATTTGTGCAGGTAGTATCATTAATTTCAAGTCTTCATCACATTAGCAGAAACCAATCATATGCGTTTAGAGCCGGAAAAAGAATTGATCCGCTCACCTCTCGAGTCCTCTATCGGGTCTGAGTCACTCGATCCTCACGGGCCAATCATATGCGTTTAGAGCCGGAAAAAGTTTTGATCCGTTCATCTCTCGAGTCCTCTATCAGGTCTGAGTCACTCATTCCTCAAGGGCCAATCATACGCGTTTAGAGCCGAAAAAAGAATTGATCGGCTTACCTCTCGAGTCCTCTATCGGGTCTGAGCCACTCGTTCATTACGAGCCAATCATACATGTTTAGAGCCGGAAAAAGAATTGAACCGTTCATCTCTCGAGTCCTCGGGTTTGAGTCATTCTGTCACGTGATGAACGAACGATCATGGCTCCTATCGGCTTAGACTGTGCAGTGATTAAGATTATATGTGACTGTCAGTGTAACGTGAATGAACCCCTGACATTTGAAGACATGAAGAGGTGAGCTGAGCAAAGAGACAACAATACCATTATAGACAAAAGAGCAGGTAAACATTAAATTATTATTTTCTCCTTCTTATAGTATTCTATTTATGACTTATTTGTTGTGCAATCAACCTTTTGGGCTAGTTGTAGATGTGTTTGGAAGCAATTCGTAACATTTTATTAATATTTTGGCAAATTGAACCAAATGAACGAAATGACTCGAAAAAAGATTCGTTCATCTTGATGAACGAGACTCAAAGATCCGAGTCAGTAAAATGATCCGAACTTCCCATCACTACCCTGTATTTGTGGTTACGCTCAGTAAACAGCTGTGAGCTAGGTGAAGGAATGACCTTCATGGCCAATCACAGTCATTTCTGTTGAGCATGTGAACACAATGGCAAATCAGCGGTGTTTAAGAACAGCCCTCAAATGTTAGCGGGAAATAGACGTTTTTAAAATTTCAGTACCGATTTGTACCGAATTCCAATATCGAGACAACCCTATATACTGTACATACATTTACAGGTTAAACTGTATAGTTAGAAATAATACGGTAAATAAAATAAAATAAGATGTTACTGCACACTGAGTAGATACATTGTGGATTCAGCTTTTTAGAAAACATGGTAGTGCTTTATTTTAATGATGTGCTTTTATTTACTATAGTGCCACACTTTATTAACATATGCCTACATACCTGGTCCACACATCTTGCAGCATTTTCCTTGACTGTTTGTGTAATGTGTTTCCTTCTCACAGCATGACACAAGGCAGATCAGTGTGACCTGATGAAGGTAAATACATAATGAGCATGTTTGATAATGAACAATTTTAAAAGCTTTACAGAGCAGTAACAAATCAGCACTAGTACTGTATGTTTAGAGGATTTTGTTTTCATTGCATTTAATTTTGAAAACACTAATGGTTTAGTTTAGGTCAGTGATTTATTGGTCTGGCCCACACGATTTTACGACATGTAAATGTTTGGAATTAGTGGCTAATTCGTATGATCTCCTTCATAAAATTTAGTACGATTTGCTTATTCCCCAATGATGGTTGGGTTTAGGGGTGGGGTTGGGTGCCATGACTCCTTTTTAAAATTGTACATTTTTGTACAAATTAGCCACTAAACAGGCAATATGTGAGACAATTATGTTTCCTTGTGAGATCAGGCTGGTCTAGCTGATCTAACAAGCCCTGTCTTCTACTGGACATGAAAATGAAGGATGTGTATCTGAAATACAAAACCTTAAGTCACATTTTTCAAATTTGCAAAAATGTAGACAGCACCCTCTAGTGCAGTGTTTCTCAACTGGTGGGGGAACGTTTTCAGTGGGTTGCGGAGTGTGTGTTAAAAAAAACAACAAAAGTTAAATTTTTACTTATTTTGCTTGTACCGGACTTTTATTTTGAAATGCGTGCGCAACAACCCTACCGTTTGACATGTGAAATTTCATTTAATTATTGCAACAAATAGGTGCTCCGGTTTCCCCCACAGTCCAAAGACATGTGGTACAGGTAAATTAGGTAAGCTAAATTGGCTGTAGGGTATGTGTGTGAATGGGAGTGTATGGGTGTTTCCCAGTGATGTGTTGCAGCTAGAAGGGCATCCACTGTGTAAAAAATGTGCTGGATAATTTGGCAGTTTATTCCGCTGTGGCGACCCTGGATTAATAAAGGGACTAAGCCGAAAGTAAAATGAATGAATGAATGGATTCAATATTTTTTTTAAGTGGTTGCAAACAATTTATATGGGTTGAATAATATAATGTAATGTTCAACCTAATTTACTTCTTTAAATTCAGCCTATATTAATTGTTTGCAACACTTTGCAATGAATCATTTTTTCAGTGTATTCTGCAGAATATTTGCAATTTATAACCTTTATCTAACTTTACATTGTCTTCACAGGAAAACTTTGGCAACATCTGAATAAACACAAACATCACTGTTTATTTATCTAACTATAAATGTATTGCTTCAGCATAAAATGCCATTGTCAAGCAGACAAACTGACCACTATTTTAATTAAAACCTCCATTTTAAGCTGACCTCACTAGATAAAAACAACAACAACACCATCTAGTGGACTGTACGGAAATTGATTTTAATATTCAACTAAATAGTATAATAAAATATTGCATATATATCAATATGGGCATCCATCTATATAGTATTGTAGAAAAATTTGGAATACTATGCTGTATCGATATTTTCCACCACTCCTATTAAACAAATAATAGTACATACATATTGATTGGATACGAATACGTGTTTTTATTAGTGACTACTAACTTTCCCGGTGATACTAGTACTAATAGACACATCTTTGTCATTGACTTGAAGGTTTGCCATTGAGATACCAACTACTGAGTTTTAACTAGTATGTACTCCAGTAGTGATTATACAGTGGTGGTCCAAATGATAAGAATACTCAGCATGTTTCAGAGGTTTCTTTTTTATTGAATTGGCCAGTACAAATTAATAAAACATATACAAAGTCATCATTTTGCACTATATATCACAGAACAGGACCATCATGAAGAGGTTAAGATAATTTTTCCCTACAAAAAAAAAAAACAAGCCTATTTCACTGCAAATGTCCCACAATTATGACCCTTCACAGAGTTTAAATATAAGCATGTGGATTTAGTTGTAGAAGGCATAGATAACATTAGTGTAGTTGACATTCTGCAAGTAAGATGGGCATGCTAAATATTAAAGTTAAATGTGATTGACATTTGCTTTGCTCGAAGCAACCATTTGCATGTTTTATGAATGTTAAAGCATGTTTCGGAGGCAAAAAACATCATATTTTCATATCTGTCATGGTGTTATAATCATTTTGGCCATCACTATGTTTTTATAGACTTAGTAGGTAATCATTTAGGTACTTGTAGATAGTCATTAGAAATTTGTACTCGTTTATAGATCAGTAAAAAAGTAGATCTGTCTAGTAAGATAAGAATTGTTGGTCGCACTTTACAATAAGGTTTCATTAGTTAATGTATTTACTAACATGAACAATACTTGTACAGCATTTATTAATCATAGTTCACTAATGCATTTTTAAAATGCAAATTCATGCTTGTTAACATTAGTTAATGCACTGAGAGTTAACATGAACCAACAATAAACAACTGTATTTTCATCAACTAATGTTAACCAACATAAATAAATACTGTAATAAATGTATTGTTCATTGTTGTTCATATTAGTAAATGCATTAGCTAACATTAACCAATACAACCTTATTGTAAAGTGTGACCGGATTAATTACAAAAGACAGTGTCTAATTAATAGGATCTAATGAATAACTACTAGTATTTACTGTGTAGGTACTCAATCTAAATATTAAGTACCGGTCTCTCTGAAATAATTACTAATGAATGCTTACTAGTAATATTTAAAAGGGAAGTTTAGAAAAATTAAGGCCTACTTATCAAAAGTAAACAGATAATATCAAAAAACCAAATTACAACCTGTGCGTAAAAATATATATTGGCCTAATAGACAAAACTCAATGAATGATTTGTCAATGACAGATCTCCATAGCATCTATGACAACAATGTTAAATGTGTTACTACTAATAACATTAGAAAATTTACAAGTAACTATTGTAAGTAACTACTGTAGCAACAGACTGAGAGATATTAAACTTAACTATTAATACTAAATGAAAATATCCTATCAAGAATTAAGTGGTAGCTTACAAATAAAAAGTACTTTTGAAACTAGAAAAATATGAACTGCTGTTTTTATAAATTTAATATTTATCTGACTATAACTGTATTGCTTGAGCGCAAATGCCATTGTCAAGCAGACAAACTGACCACTATTTTAATTAAAACCTCCATTTTAAGCTGACCTCACTAGATAAAAACAACAACATCACCATCTAGTGGACTGTACGGAAATTGATTTTACTATTCAACTAAATAGTATAATAAAATATTGCAGATATATCAATATGGGCATCCATATTGTAGAAAAATTTGGAATACTATGCTATATAGATATTTTCCACCACTTATATTAAACAAATAATAGTACATACATATTGATTAGATACGAATACATGTTTCATTAGTGACTACTAACTTTCCTGGTGACACTAGTACTAATAAAAACATCTTTGTCATTGACTTGAAGGTTTGCCATTGAGATACCAACTACTGAGTTTTGACTAGTATGTACTCCAGTAATGATTATACAGTGTTGGTCCAAATGATAAGAATACTCAGCATGTTAATAAAACATATACAAAGTCATCATTTTGCACTATATATCACAGAACAGGACCATCATGAGGAGGTTAAGATAATTTTTCCCTACAAAAAAAACAAGCCTATTTCACTGCAAATGTCAAGCTTACAAATAAAAAGTACTTTTGAAACTAGAAAAATATGAACTGCTGTTTTTATAAATTTAATATTTAAACGGCTTGCCTTTATTAAAACAAAAGCTGTGATCGGTTTTCTTTTTCATCGTGATGCATATTTGAGTCAAATGTCTATATTTGACTGAATCGTTGCTGTTGGTCAATCTCACGTGAGTGACAGCAATTGATCCCGCCTTTGAGTCAGTAAAGGTCATTTGAGGACAACATTGTTGAAGAGAGAGGTAGTTTTTTTCAGTAGGGAGACATATATTAAATACATATTTTATAATTAATAAAAACTCCAGTTCTCAATACAATTATGAAACTTTGTTATTATTTCACGAACACTTCAATTAGCCTACGAGACTACCTGAATGGTGCATATATTTAATAGTCTTATTAAATGGACATGTGATTTCTCAGACCATCAAACACAACACGGTGCCATCTTAAAACAGCAAGGGGCAAACGGAAAGTCCCCGAGATCCCCACCTAACGACTATTTATTTTTTACCAACACAGACGACTGTAGACTTAAATAAGTGCCTTAAATACCTATTAATCAGCATCCAGTGCACGTTTCATGCCATATAAACATACACAAGCTTAAAATACTCATAGCTAGCCTTTATAGTCAAACCGAAAGTGAAACCAAACCCGAAATACCATTCGAGTCATTCTTTTTCAATGACCACGTCAATGTAAACGTTCTGGATGTTATATAGTAGTACAAATCAACACAATTAGAATGAATATCAACAATGTAAATGGCAACGCACCTGAATATTCATATGCAGCGTTATCATGCACGCGCGTCAACAAACGCATTTAATAATAGCAATCACTTACCAGCAAACAGACTCTGAGAATCACTGTCATGATGACAATATCTGAAATAGATCTTCGTTATCAGTTGAAAATGACTCTTAACCAGCGAAACAAACAATGAACTGTCTGCTCTGCTGTCTGATACTTTTGCTTGTCAGAGAGGAAGAGAGAGAGAGAGAGAGAGAGAGAGAGAAGGGGAATTCAAGCACACACGCCTATTTTTTAACACGTGACCACTTCCCATTTCCCTGTGCAATTCCAAGATGTGAGACTAGAAACTGAAGACACTGTGATAGACAAATTCACAATCAAAATTAATACATTTATTTAATTTTTAATTAAAGTACTTTTTTGAGGGATGTTCTGAGTACTTTGAAAAGTTAAATTATTTATTTATTTATTAATTTGATTAAAAAGTAATAATAATAGTTAGTAATAGTCATAAATAACAAGTTTTTTTTTAAGATAATAACATGGGAATGGTTTATGGGTCTAACTCAAAAGCACTGCCAATCATCCAAGCAGAACTTCCCAGCATGACTTTCACTTCCTCCAGACCACAAATACTATAACCTATTACGTCAGCAGTGAAAAACAAAAAATTTGCCTGTTAAATGGAATTGACATTTATTTAGTTGTTTTCCCAGTGTAAAACCCTGCCATAATCTAAATGAGCTTTAAACGCATTACATGCCATTTTGTTTTAAAACACTAGGTTTGTTTATTTGTTAGCAGTACATTTTTTTATTTGACAATTATAATTGTACAATTTAATACAATCTCTGATTCTCTTACAGTATATTTAAAGTGCACATCAGTGTAAGATTGTTGTTTTACTTTAAAATGTCTGTTATGACAACTCGATCTCTCAGAAAATCGTAACTTTTTTGATTTAGTGGCTAATTCGTATGAATTCGTGAGATCTCATTTGTACAGTTTAGTTTGTTTTGCTTATCCCCCAATGATGGATGGGTTTAGGGGTGGGGTTTGGTGCCATGCCTCCTTTTTAAAAAATCTTTAGTTTTCTTATGACTGCACTCAAACAAATTCGTACAAATTTGCCACTAAACTGACAAAACGTGATCGGTTATGGCTGGATTATGATTGGCTGGTTATGGTGATGATGACAAATGATTTCACACTTATTTCGACCCTTTCTTGCATTTATATGTCCATCACTTTTGTAAATTTGATTTGAGGTGGACACCAAAAATTAAAAACTTTGTGGAACTGGAAAATATAAAAATGTAATGTAAAATGTAATGTAGACAATAAAATAGACAATTACCAAAACATTCATTTGTAAATTTGCCCCCCACCCCCCAATAATGGAGCAGTCCAGCAGTCAAATCAGATGAAAATCAGATGAAACAAAAATCAGTCCAAGGCACTGCAAAAATGTAGAATTAAAAAAAAAAGAATAATATAACATTAATAAAACAATAATTGTTTTTTAAATCCACATTTTTGAGTACCTTGGACTGATTTCTGTTGTTTATTCTGATTAATCCCTCACCCAAAGAACACTGACACATTATTTAAGCTACCCCTGAACACTTTTTGTTTGATTTCGGATGAAGTTTTAGTTTTAAAACAATTTATTATTATTTTTTTTTAAAAGAAAGAATACAGAAAAGAAGATGTGATATAAGAAAAAGGCAGCAACACAAATAAATAAATAAATAAATAAATAAAAAGGATGAATATTGGGACTTTTCTTAGGGCCCTCAAATTACTAAATCCACCCTTGCACTCTGTAAAACTGTAGAGAAACATTGTCAACATCAAAAGTAGACAGAGCAGAGATTAACACCCCATAATGCAACTTATTACTGTAATTAAATGGACAACACCAGCGAATCACAAAATACAGAAACTTTTCAAACATCACTCGAAACATTCAAGAGAATGTAAGCTTATAAATATACACATATATGTTATTATAAATAACACAGTACAAATTATAGCCTCAATATAAGACAAGAAAATAATAAAATCAAAAAACAGAAATGCTGAAATTTTGCCAGCATGCTTAAATTAATTCAAACATTTATTTATTTATTTATTTATTTATTTATTTATTTATTTATTTATTTATTTATTTATTTATTTTTTTTATTTGTTTATTTCTTTTCTTTTATTTTTTTTATTGAACAAGGAAAGTCCAATTAAGATATAATATCCCTTTTACCAGGGAGTCAAGACAGGCAGTATAGGACAGAATTACAGAAAATTACACACACAGAAATAATATAAACCATAATCAATTGTAAAAACAAGTGCGCTGTTCTGAATTGACAGTCTCTAAAATATTTTTAGATATAGCAATACATGCAACGGATTTAATATGCAGTATATCTTGAAACTCATTCCATATTTCGAGCATACTTAGAATGCAGATCGACCTAACTCTGTATGAAAAAATTGCATCCTAAGTAAGAGTATCCGCTGATCTATAAGTATTTGAGCAGTAAACCAACAAATTAGATATATACTGTGGTATTTTACCAATTTGCCGACTAACATATGTTGTTTTTTCCTTGACTGTAATGAGGTCCATTTTGTGTTTTTATGTAAATCACAGTAATGTGTGTGTGCACTTAAACCACTGAAAAATCGTAAGACACTATGATAAACAACATCCAATTTTCATTAAAACATTCAGAGTTGCGTGCATATAAAGTATATCTCAGTAATCCAAACCTGACAGAAGTGTACTCACAACTAAACATTTGTGAGCTGCTAAGGAGAAACTTTTTTTTTTAAACAAAAATAAAAACCCAATGTTGATGTGAGTTTTTTTTAAAGGCTATCAATATAAAAACTATTTGAAGTATGTTTGTATAGTGTTAAAATTTGACAGCCACATGGTGAATCCCTGCTATATAGGGATCCCCCTTATTAAAAAAAAAAAAAAACTAAACAAGCACAAGGAAATCCCCACGTTAGAAGGAAGTCTTCTGGGATTATACACACAAGTAATTTTGGGGACATACCGTGAAAGAGGAGAAATACTCTCTGATCAGCCACGTCCCAGCATGATGACGTCTGAACTCAGGAATTTAGACATGCTCGGAAGATTTTCAGATCATAAGAATCACTTCCTCACAGCACATGCACGACCTGAGAATGATGTGAGGCATGGCATACTGTAATTTAGCGTTCGAGAGAAAAACCCTTTGGTCCCATGAGAAACCGTTCAGAGAATCTGGTGTCACATATTTCAGTTCTCTGTAAAACACAGAAGATTAAAAAAAGGAGTTAGACTATAACTAATGTTAGACTGTATTAAAAAATGCATGCATACTAAATATATTTCTGTGTACTGACTAATAGTGGCAAATGAAATAGGATGTAAACACTTCCTTTTTTCACAGTTTGTCTTTTGTGTGAAGCCGGTGTTATCTGAAAGCTTTATTTGAATGTTTTAGGGAGTTTTGATAGATTGAAGGATTTTTTTATAAGTCATTTTTTAGTCTGAATTCGTACAGCAGGGTAAATGGGTCAAAAGAGGTTAAAGAGAACTGATTTGTGAAAAGCTATTGCTTAATGTTGTTGTAATAGCATGACTGTCGTGCTTCTCCAAAATAGGAGCTTTTGCTTTGCATGCATTGTTCCCAGACTGGCATTTGTGTTTCGGTAAAACAGAATTTTTGTTCTGCTAACAGCTTTAATGACTATTCAAAATATCTACAAATAGTATAACAATGATATGAAGTAAAATGCAAAATACAAAAAATGTATATAAAAAAAAAGTAGAGCTCTGGATAACAATGAGCACACCACTTTAAAGATATTAATAATTCTCTAGATTTACTATTAATTAGTACATGTATTGAGTGAATGTGTATAATATAATATAATATATTGTAAAATAATATAATAGAATAGAATATTTATTCATCAGGGGTCGCCATAGCAGAATGTACCGCAAGCATATGTTTTTTTACACAGTGAATGCCCTTCCAGCTGCAACCCAATTCTGGGAAACACCCATACACACCCATTCACACATACACACACACACACACATACACTATGGCCAATTAAGTTTATTCAGTTCACTTGCACAGCATGTCTTTAAACTGTGGGGGTAACAGAAGCACCCGGAGGAAACCTGCACAAACACGGGGAGAACATGCAAACTCCAAACAAATGCTAACTGACCCAGCCGGGACTCGAACCAGCAACCTTCTTGCTGTGAGGTGACAGTGCTAACCCCTAAGCCACCATGTCACTATAATATAATATAATATAATATAATATAATATAATATAATATAATATAATATAATATAATATAATATAATATAATATAATATAATATAATATAATATAATATAATATGATAAAATATAGTATAATATAGTATAATATATTATATTATAATATAATATAATATAATATAATATAATATAATATAAAAAATATGAGCATTTCTGACAACAGGTCATAATAACAGGTCACTATAACATATTCCATGTTTTAATATTCCAAATTTGATCTATACAGTGCTTGGCATAATTGAGTACACCCCATTTTGCAAATGAATATTTTTATATATTTCTCAATGAACATATGTCTTATATTGTGTGCATCTGAACAAAACATATTTATTAAATGTATATATATATATATATATATATATATATATATATATATATATATATATATATATATATATATATATATATATATATATACACACACACACACAGTTGAAGTCAGAATTGTTAGCCCCCCTGAATTATTAGCGCCCCTGTTTATTTTTTCCCCCAATTTCTGCCTAACAGAGGGAAGATTGTTTCAGCACATTTCTAAGCATAATAGTTTTAAAAGCTTATTTATAATAACTGATTTATTTTCTCTTTGTCATGATGACAGTAAATAATATTTTACTTGATATTTTTCAAGACACTTCTATACAGCTAAAAGTAACATTTAAAGGCTTAACTAGGTTAATAAGATGAATTAGGCAGGTTAGGATAATTAGGCAAGTTACTGTATAATAAATGGTTTTTAAAAAATTAAATATTGGGGGGAATTTTTTATTAATTTATTTTTCTTGAATTTTGCACTGTTTTGTTTAATATTTTTCCCTAACATAAATTTGGGGTACTCATTTTTGAACCATTATCATAAGTTATTTTGTAAGATTGCAAATTATTTTGTATGATTGTACTAAATAATCTAATGCACTATATATATATATATATATATATATATATATATATATATATATATATATATATATATATATATATATATATATATATATATATATATATATATATATATATATATATATATATATATATATATATATATATATATATATATATATATATATATATATATATATATATATTATAAGTTGAAGTCAGAATTATTAGCGCCCCTGTTTTTTTTTTTTTTTTGGGGGGGGTCTTAACAACCACCTTTATGCAGATGGTAGTCAGGTATGTATGTATATTTACCTTATGTCATTTTGAACTAAAATATAAATAAACCATGAAACCTAAAACAGCAAAAAAATTACAAATGTGGAGGCCTACATCAACTTATGAAGTGATGGCAAATGTTATATTTGAATCTCAATGTTTCTATACCATTAACCATAGTTTCTTAATATACACAGATAAATAAATAAAAATTTAGGCTACAATACAATGCATTCGTGGTCTAATTTATGATTAATTAATTGAAGCTACAAGTATAGATTTTTAACATTTAATTAGCTCTGAAGAGTAACTAAATCACACAAACGAGTTGGTGTTATGCTTGATAAAAATAATCAAAGTAAAACTGTTATAATTTATAATTATAGGCCTAGTTGTTATACAGCCGACTTTTCAAAAATGTCAAAAGACTTGTTTTACTAATGCGCATGCGCTCTCTAGAGGAAACAAACAGGTGATGTTTTTAAAGCAACCCTACCGTGCAGAGTTGAGATTAAAAGTAAAATACTTAATTAAAAGTTATAATTTACAGTATTATTGAAGACATTTTGGCGGAATTTACATCGTTACTTTGGGATACTGTCTTCAGAGCAAAATATCACTAAACGTTTAGTTATTAAAGGTCTTAACGCTCCCATAACTGCTTTAAAGATTATTGTGGGTGATGAGCATCCTAGTAACATGGCCATAACCTACATATAGAACTAGTTTGATGTTTATTTACACTGTAATGACTTTTACGTCATGGTTTGTGTCGACTGTGCACCATCTAGCGGTTGAACAACAGTTTTACAACACTCAAATGTGTTCAATTTTACTCCGAAAATGTAAGAATAGTCTATCTATTAATCTGATTATCAGGTAAACAACAGATAAAGACATTATACATAATCTAGTTGATGATTCTACCTGAGAGACTGACATTTTTTTTTTGTCACACAGAAAGATGAGAAGTCTGATAAAGGCTGCAGGTGTATGACTTCATCTTTTTCTTGTTTTATCTTTCAGGTAAGCCGCATTTAAGGAAGTTGCCAAGTACACACATGCAATACGAGTATAACAACAAGTTCTCTCACACAAACACACCCCTTTTCAGACGTCTGCAATGTTAAGTGCAAACCTGTGTACTCTTTGACAACACTCGATGATCGGACAAATGGATCACAGAAAACAGCATGTCCCTCAGGTAAGCGCACGTATTTATTAATATACGGCTATTATACAAATATTTAGTGAAAATATGGTTAACTGTTACTATGAACCGTTTAATACGTACAATAAAATGACTAATAAATCATTCAAACAAATTTTACTATCTTGTAAATGATTATAATGTTGTAAATTAATCTGTTTTCTCTCTGTCCTTAACAAAGGAATGTCATGCATTCATTCCCACATGAAAGAAAAATACTTTAGTAATTTATATGGTTCCTATTTATATCAAGTGGCCTCAACTAATATGAACTCACATTGACATTAATAATTTGTTACAGTGTACTTATTGTGTAAATACATGTATTTACATTTTTAGTATGCTTGATTAAATGCCTGCATGTAATTACATCTGTAATTGGTTTCTGTAATTATATTGATAATTACACTGTTGACCATCTTACCTTAACCCAACCGCAAACATACCCCCAAACCTGTCTCTAACCCAACTCAAACCCCACCCTAATAGAATCAGAAGTGTTCTGCAATGCATTATTAACAGTATATTGTATTTATATTTTAATGTAAGTACATAGTAGTTAAGGTAACTTAATATAAAGTGGAATAGAGTAAATTATTTAATATTTTTAAACAAAACCTTACGGTTATAGTAACTAAGAAAATGAATGAATCTGTTATTGTGATTGGTAATGTTGATATGGTATTCCAACAACTATAGCAATATAAACAAATGACCCAGTACTACAGCATTCTAGTACTATAGGATACATTATATTAGAATACACCACAGTTTACTGTAGTAAAAATTAAAGTATACTACAGTATTTATTACAGTTAGCAGTTCACAGTGGTTAATACCACCATAGGCTCATTCTGAAAATGTAGCCCTATATACATTTCTGGAGATTGCAAATTATGTAGCCAGAAGTACATAAGCTGCGTCCCAAATGGCACACCATACACTATGCACTCATGCACTATGCACTTACACACTCAACAGAATAGTATATGTATGTAGTGGCGTCCCAAATGGCACACTAATGTTTTTTTAATAGGCGGAAATTCAAACAGTTTCCTTGATGACGTTTGACGGTTGCCAAATCAGTGAAATAAACGACCGATTTATCAAATAATACCTGCCGTGACTATTGCCGCATTCACCATCGGGATGCGCTATAATCACTCTCATAGGAGAATTTTGCTTTCACCATCCAAAATAAATAAAGTAATCCAACATGTGTGCCCGATAGCTCAGCCCCTTCTGCTACGTAAGCAAACCTGCGGTCGTTGAGTGCGTGAAGTGTCCATCATTACACACTTCATTTTAGCGGCTGAATGAGTGCATCATCCGGGTATTTAAAGTGCACTTATTACTTTTAGAGTTTTCAGTGTGAACACGCTACTAACACTATTTATACTACAAAATGGTGTAGAATAGTGCATAAGTATGCGATTTGGGACGCAGCTGTACTGTTTTTAAAACAAATGCTACGGGGTGGTATGACGTTCCTTTTCGCGCTACCAGCTGACCACATACCTCTGTATGGACGACTTTTCTGCTGTTATCAGTTTGTTCAGTAGCTCGTCATGTTTTCAGCACACTTAAGACACAGAGAGAAGTTGACATCAACAACAGGGTTTGAGTCTGGTGAAGAACGGTTCCAGAAAGTGGGAAAGACGAAAACAGAAGCCAATAGTAAATAACAGGGTGAGAATGCTGTAAAATCTGAAAACGTGATGATAAAGCAGGCGAGGGCTTTTCTTTTCCTGGACTGCTTTTTAAAACTGTTGGACCAATCGTTGGTTTTGAAAACACTGTTGGTTGGGCTTAGGGAAGATGGAGGGTGGGTCAGTTGATCAGTCAGTCAACAGCAGCCTCTAGTGGATTTACGTGAGAACAGCAGGCGTGAATGGCACTCGCTGGAGATAATTGATAACTCAAAAAGCATACACAGTGGTGGATTCGCGAAAAAAAAAAAACTGCAGAAAAACTTGGAACGTATTTGGCGCTCTCTAGAAATCTATATAGTGGTACATTTTCAGAATGAGCCTGGGTTGGTTAATACTGCACTATGCTGTGGCATTCATTAACTGTTGTAAACACTAGAATATTTACAGTAAATAATATAGAATATATTAGTATTATACTAATAGCTAGCTCTCTGCAACTCTCACATGGAGAGGGGGACTCTGTACTGCTCAGAGTCTTTCGGATGAGATGTTAAACCGAGGCCCTGACTCTCTGTGGTCGTTAAAAATCCCAGGATGCCCTTTGAAAAAGAGTAGGGTGTGTGGTTTGTGATCTGGCGCAATATGGCTGCTGTCATGTCGTCCAGGTAGATGCTGCACACTGGTGGTGGATGAGGAGATTCCCCCCAATGTGTAAAGCACTTTGAGTGTCCAGAAAAGGTGCTATATAAAATAATGTAAGGAATACTATTAATATCATTAGTATAATATGGTTCAAAAACAATATTTGGTTTAAATGACTATAGGTTTTTTTTCATATGGATGTCCAGATTGGTAGGACTCTATAAAGTGCATTTTTTTTTTGCATTTAACACACAAATGTGTAAAATTGTTTGAGAATCATGCAAGTAAGCATAAACTATATTATAGTGATGTTTCAGTGAAAAAAAAATAGATCAGAACTTCCTCATTTCAACAGTCTATTGTAAGCGAGTTTACTGTAGTCACTAGTCAAACAATATTACAGCATGTGCTTATGTTGAGAGTAATCTCAGTCTTTAATTTGATTTCTCGTTGTTTTTTACAGCTCAGCAATGCAATGCAGCTGAATATAATGAACTTGGTAAAGTCTGGGAAAATGAGTATTGATGAAGCTCTGAATCAGGCGAGAAGCGGCAAAATGCACAAACAGAAGAACTTTGAGATCGAGGTGAAGTATGAGTTCAGTTTAAAACTCATGAAAAGATCCACAGTGAGCCAGAAACAAAATCACAATGCAATTCGAGAAACACTGCAGTGCAATGACATATATAAAAAAAGATATAATCACCATATGTCAGGGATTTCCAAACTCGGTCCTGGAGGGCCGGTGTCTTAGAGAGTTTAGCTTCAACCCTAATCAAACACACCTGAAGCTAATCAAGCTCTTACTAGACATACTAGAAACTTTCTGGCAGATGTGTTGAAGCATGTTGGAGCTAAACTCAGCAGGACACTGGCCCTCCAGGACTGAGTTTGGACATCCCTGCCATACGTCTTTTAAACATGTCTTTAAATGAAAGCACTGCTTTGCAAAATTCAATCTTATTTGCTAACATATTTTTTTTTTTATGAAGTCATAAAGTGTCTGGTATGTTTATGCACATAGTTCTTGTCAAGGAAATGGTTTGTTGTTAAACCAGTCTTTGTGGGAGGGGCTCTAATATTTAGTGCAAGTGTCTATGGTGATTTTAAGCAACCCCCGAATGAGTTTTGTAAGCTGACATTTTGCATTGAGGAAGTATTATCAGTTATTTCTTGAATCCATTGTTCAACATTGTCATTGATGTTTCTGTTTCAGGAAAAAGAGCCGTCGCAGTATAACTTCAGTGTCCGCAAGTTCAACCGCTATTTATGGCAGAAACGAGTTTTGCAGGTGGTTGTCCACACACTGAACAGCTCTAAACACACCCAGTGATAACCAGAGCTAAATATACAGTGGAAATCAGAAATATTAGCCCCCTTTTAATTGTTTACTTTTTTTTAAAATATTTGCCAAATTATGTTTAACAGAGCAAAGAAATTTTCACAGTATTTCTGATAATATTTTTTCTTCTGGAGAAAATCTCATTTGTTTTATTTTGTCTGGAATAAAAGCAGTTTTTATTTTAAAAAAAAAAACATTTTAAGGTCAAAATTATTAGCCCCTTCAAGCTATTTTTGTTTTCGATAGTCTACAGCAGAGGTTCTCAAAGTGGGGGTCGGGACCCCCCGAGGGGTCGCGGGACAATGAAGGGGGGTCGCCTGTTGATTTTCAAAAATCTATTAATTTTTATTAAACCTTAAGACTTACTGTATTTTATCAATAACCTACTGAAGAGAAAAAAATAGTCGTTTATAGTTACTATAAACTATATAGTTACTATAGTAGCTTATAGTTACTAGTTCTATTGGATTGCGACTTCTCGGGTAGTTACATTATACTAAAGACACAACAATACTGTCAGATGCAGCAGATTTTGTAACACCAGGTTAAACTTTCTAGCCCATTTACAGCACTGACATACATAAAAAAACAAAGAATAGACTTGGGTCTATTGGTGTGTTTGTGCGCGTCATTGCATACAAGGTTTCTGTATTTATAACCACCACCTCAGAGAATATTGGGGGTCATGAGTCACTGGCGTTGTCATTTTGGGGGTCGCGGGCTGAAAAGTTTGGGAACCCCTGGTCTACAGAACAAACCATCATTGTACAATATCTTGCTTAATTACCCTAACCTGCCTAGTTCACCTAATTAACCTAGTTAAGCCTTTAAATGTCACTTTAAGCTGTATAGAAGTGTCTTGAAAAATGACTAGTAAAATATTTTTAACTGTCATCATTACAACGATAAAATAAATCAATTATTAGAAATGAGTTATTAAAACCATTATGTGTTGAGAAAGATCTTCTCTCCGTTAAACAGAAATTGGCGAAAAAAAATAAATTGGGCTAATAATTCAGGGAGGCTAATAATTCAGACTTCAACTGTATATATATATATATATATATATATATATATATATATATATATATATATATATATATACACACACACACACACACACACACACACAGTTCTATAACTATCCATATATATATATATATATATATATATATATATATATATATATATATATATATATAGTCTTATTTAGTTTGCCTGTATTAAAATCTAAAAAAGCAAAATGTAAAACTGAATTGGATTGAATTGAATTTTATTTAAAAGAATTTAGACAAACTGTACAAAAAGTATTCCATACACTTTGTTAAAAAAGCTGTCGAGGATAAAAACACAATAAAGCCCTGGGCTTATTTCCATTGTTGTCCTCTTTTAAATAAAAACAATGTATGGCTTCAAAATACTAATGAAGAATAAAACAAACAGTCGCCACAGCGGTACGAACAGTCAACTTATCCAGCACATGTTCTACACAGCTAATGGCCTTCCAGCCGCAAACCTATTCACACTCAAGTAACATATAAATTAAAACATCCTCGTCCACCATGCAAACTAATTATCCTCATCAAACAACCGTCTTTTGATAGCTTTTTTGAACAACCTTAAATCTTTTATTTCCTTGATTGATTTTGGTAGTTTGTTCCACATGATTGCACTTGTATATAAAAACATATTTTTCCCCACTAAACTTCTAAATTTAAATAAACAAATATTAAAATCCCAACCCCTAGTACTGTATGAATGCTGTTGCCTCACCATTTGAAAATAGTTCATCAAATAACTAGGAACCACATTATTAAACATTTTACGCACCATTCCCAGTTTTAAAAAACACACTCTATTACTAACAGTTAACATACCTAATTTATTAAAAGACTCTTTGTGCAAATGTGCTCTAGGATGCATTTTTAAAATTATTCGTACAAATTTATTTTGTGCCTTTTGCAATTTCTCCTTCAAATTCTGTGAGCAGCTATGGTCAATATTATTATTCGATTGGCTACAGAACAAACAACTTTTGTTCAATGACTTGCCTAATTAACCTAACTTGTCTAGTTAACCTAATTAACCTAGTTAAGTCTTTAAATTGCACTTTAAGCTGAATACTACTATCTTGCAAAATCTAGTATCTAGATAAAACACTTTATTTTTGTAAATATTTTCTCCTGTTTTTTATTTTTATAAAGTTCGAGAGTTAGTTATTTAAGTTAAAGTTAAGTATTGTATTTTTATTTCAGTTATTTTGTGAGGGTTATAGTTATATTTGAGTATAGTTAGGTGACACTTTTTGTTTATTATTTTTCTGTGGGTCCTCTGCAAGGTATTTGCTTCACATTATTTTTTTGTTGTATAAAAAAAAAGGCTTTATTTGTCAAGTGTTCTATTACTTCCTTGATGAACTTAGTTATTAAAATATTAGTTATTAAAACTGCTGTCCAATACGTTGGAAAACTTTTTTTCACTTGGGAAATGTGTAAGCGCATCACGGTGGTGCAGTGAGTAGCATGATCGCCTCACAGCAAGAAGGTCGCTGGTTCGAGCCCAGGCTGGGTCAGTTGGCATTTCTGTGTGGAGTTTGCATGTTCTTCCCGGGTTGACGTGGGTTTTCTCCGGGTGCTCCGGTTTCCCCCACAGTCCGAAGACATGTGGTATAGCTGATTGTCCGTAGTGTATGTATGTGTATGGGTGCTTCCCAGTGATGGATTGCGGCTGGAAGGGCATCCGCTGTGTAAAACATATGGTGGATAAGTTGGCGGTTCATTGAGCTGTGGCGACCCCAGATTGATAAAGGGACTAAGCTTGTATGTGTGAAAGAATGTGTTGTCTCCATATCTTGAATGACCTCAGTGTATATAAATTAACAGGACATTTTTGATTTTGGGGCTTGTTTTTTCTTAAAGGCCTGTTCACACCAAGGACTATAAATTTATAAAAAAAACAATAAAAAATATTTTTAAAAACTGTTCTAAATATGAAAGAATCTAATGCATCAAATAACAACTGGATGGAGCAATAATATCCTTGGAATCAATTCAATTTTTTTAAAACTTATTTTAACTATAATAATATTGACAATAAGGGCGAGGCAGTGGCGCAGTAGGTAGTGCTGTCGCCTCACAGCAAGAAGGTTGCTGGGTCGGTGGTTCGAACCTCGGCTCAGTTGCCGTTTCTGTGTGGAGTTTGCATGTTGCCTTCGTGTGGGTTTCCTCCGGGTGCTCCGGTTTCCCCCAGACATGCGGTACAGTCATGCGGTACAGGTGAATTGGGTTGGCTAAATTGTCCGTAGTGTATGAGTGTGTGTGTGTGTGTGAATATGTGTGTGGATGTTTCCCATTGATGGGTTGCGGCTGGAAGGGCATCCGCTGCGTAAAAACTTGCTGGATAAGTTAATGGTTCATTCCGCTGTGGCGACCTCGGATTAATAAAGGGACTAAGCCGACAGGAAAATGAATGAATGAATATTGACAATCGATTAGAATTTGTCCTGAGAAAAAGGTAAAAAATGGTCACTTATTTTGTACAGTTTTAAATACATTGATTGCATTAATGGTGCATTTTCTTTTTTGGGGTAGCCTATCCCTTAAATAGTACTCTAAGTTATGATTGAGGGCTTCACATTTAGCGAATGCGTTTCTGCTTCAGATTGATTTCAGCACAAGACTGTTGTGCAGCATCGAGAAAGGCATCGTCAAGCGGCAGCTCCTTTTTTCGGACGTGAAAAATTGCCATGATGCTCCAGGTACCAGGTTCTCCATTTCCTTCAGAGGGCGACCTGACTATGAGCTGGAAGCTGCGTCTTTGGAGGACAAGCAGAAGGTGAGATATCTGAATTGAATTTCTACTCTTTGCCAGATGATTAAATATATATTCAAATCCTTATTGGGTGGTAACGTCCAATTCAGATTGAGTCTGAAACCGTGATATCAGGCCCAATTTCCGATCACATGATCGGATCTGAACATCCCTACATGTTATTATAGAAACATGGCAACTGTCAATCAATTCGGTGGGCAGGGAAAACGCACTCCTACATCACATTGCGGTGGCCTCAAAATCCATGGGATTTGTATACTATTTTAACCTCAGGAAATAAAAAAAGAAGACTTTTTGGGTTTATATCACTCAAATATGACTGTGGACACACTATACCTGCACACAGATCTGTCCAAACAGCCTACAAAAGATCATTTTCATCATAGATGCACTTTAAAATAAAATACTTGACCACTTGTTGTTGACTTTTGATAATAAAGACTCATCGTTGATGCATCTCACTTTTAGATCACGCAGCTGGTGAATCAGATCATCTACAATAACATATACAGCCCACCTGAGAATGGCACGCTGGATGTAGAAACCTCAAACTTACCTCCAGACAACCTTAAAGAGGGTCACCTTTTACTGCAGAGGGGAGGACTGGCGTCGTTCAAATGGAAGAAGTATGAGAATATGTTTTACTATGCCTGTCTAGTTCTTCTCAAACCAGAAGGTGTTATACTAGTTAGACTGGAACTTGTGCTGCAAATCTGCAATCGCTAAAAAGGATCTGCTTTAGGCCAAATTAAAATTGAGATGGTGCTTACTCACTAATGCGGTCTGTTACATTTGTTCTAAAAATTTTCTTTTCTTAAACCTTGTTTTTTTAACATAAAACATTATAAAATATCATATGCTTCAAAAAGATCATATATAGGAAACATTATATTATATAATATATTATTATTATTATTATCAGCTACACCATTGCATATGTCTCTTTATTGACATATTTTTATTGTAAAAAAGCAAACAATCTTATTAGCCCCCATGTTTATTTTTTCCCCAAATTTCTGTTTAACAGAGAGAATATTTTTTCAGCACATTTCTGAACATAATAGCTTTAATAACTAATTTATAATAATTAATTTATTTTATCTTTGCCATGATGACAGTAAATAATATTTGACTAGATAGTTTTCTAGACACTTCTATACAGCTAAAATGACATTTAAAAGGCTTAACTAGGTTAATTAGGTTAACTAGGCAGGTTAGGGTAATTGGGCAAGTAAAGAAAGAACTTGGATTAATATTCGACTCTAATTTAAAGGGGAGCTATTATGCAAAAATCACTTTTAATAAGGGTTTAAACACAGTTGTTTGGCAACAGTCTGTGAATATCACCAACTTCAATTATATTAATTTTATTTTTTATAATAACACTTCATAAAAATAGTCTGCAGAGACGCTTTTATTGACATTCTCCCTTTGTATGTGTCATCAGAGGGGGAAAGCCCCACCTTTTAGTGTTTATCTCTCCCTCATTAGTATAGGACATCAGTATTCTTTTTGAATCTACCACTATGCTGACACACAGGCATTTGTAGCTCCGCCCTCTTTTGAAAATCTCATTTGAATTTAAAGCGTCAGTCACCAAAACTGCACAGTTAGGATCAAAGCATAAAAGGAGCAGTTTCAAAAAGGTGTAAGAAATAATCTGTGTGGTGTTTTGAGATGAAACCTCCCATACACACTCTAGTTACATCAGAGACTTATTTGACGTCTTCTAAAAATGAGCATAATAGGTCTTCTTTAATGTTTGACCCGTCTATATTCGCCTATCTGTGAGGTGTGCGTCTCTAGTGTGTGTTTTAGTATTTAAAATGCTTTCACTTTTACTGATACCTGAAATTGTATAAATTTAAACATGAAGCACTTTGAGAATTAAGTTTTAAAATCCCTACATACAATGTGTAAAATGTATTCTTATTCCTCACTCTTAGATACGAAGCTCATCTGCAGACGGGTCAGCTGACCCTGTATCCCATCGCTCATCAACCTGCCAGCAGTAATGCAGACACCTCCAGCGAGTACATTTGGCAGATCTCAGACATTTATGACAGTGTGGAGGGCGTCAGGTGTGCTGGGGGCGACGGGACGGCTCTTATCATCCATCTCTCGGATGGTATGGTCAGGGTGGACACCCCCTGCACCATTGACACCTTCATGCTGCGCAACGACAAGAATGATTTCCTGTGAGTCAAACACCATTTTACTGACTTCCTTGATTCTCGATCGGGTTAAAAATAGTCATAAATGTATAATTTACGCTATTAACAAGACAATAACTAAGACATTAAGCTCAATAAACTACTAATTAGCTGCTTTTTAATGGTCAGCAATTTAGTAGTTAAGTTTGGGTTGGATTAGGGATGTAAAACAGGATCATACATTCTAAGTGTTAATATCAGGTACTATGTTTATAATAGGAAAGACAAGAATGACTTCCTGTGTGTCAAATACTGTTTCACTGACTTCCTTGATCCTCGATCGGGCTAAAAATAGTCATAAAAATGTTTTACTTCCTCAGTATTTTTTGTCTCGTTTTACCTTACAAACATTTCAACATTCTTGAGTTCTTAAATAAACCAAACTATAGGTCACACAAGGGATGCAACGTTTAAAAAATTTTGGTTGTACAATTATAGTCTAAGAAATAATCTCCGTTTCATGATTATCTGCATTCACCGATTTCCAAACCTCATTAGTTTAAAACTAAAATTTCTTAAAATTTGGTTTTGTAGTTCGGGCCTACATATAGACTGATTTAACGCAGCCGCCATTTTCAAAAGCGAAATCGAGGCTGCGGTGGGAAGAAACCCGGAAGTATCATTGGGAGTTGCATAGGAATGTTGTGTACTTGGCTGTATATCTTATCAGCGAAGATAAAGTGACACAAATGTATAATTTCTCCGCCATCCGGGTGGCCCGAAGGTCCGTTCTGAATGAATGGTGAGTGTAGAAAGGGATATCAGAGCTCATTTTCAGCTAAGTTAAGGGAAATGGCACTAGTTAGCTAACGTTTTCTTTCCCAAATGCACGTTTTAAATGCCATTTATCAAACTCAAGTTAATAAACTGATTCTTTCACTATATTAGACTTGGCACAATACTTAATTAAAAGAAAAACCGGTAATTTCGCTCTAACATTTAAGGCACTGTTGATGGCTTTCTTAAAACACCGCTGATTTGCCATTGTGTTCACATGTTCAACAGAAATGATTGTGATTGGCAGAGAAGGTCATCAGTTCACCCACCGCTGTGTTCACCTTATTCTCAGCTGTCGAGTGGGCGCTGCCATTTGAATCTTTTTGTCTAGCGACTTCCGGTCACATTCACTTCCATTCATTTTTTGACGTTAACAACTGCTCGTTACGCTGCTTGATGTTGCAATTTAATATTTTCTTATTATATTATGCTACTTGGTCTGTGTAGTCATGCAAACATTTGTTTGTTAAACGAGTAGTTTGGCCATTTTCTGCCATTTATTATTCCTAGTCATTTCTCCCATAGGCGACTGAATCGGAAGTTCTAAGACAATTTTAGAATAAGGTCAATACTGATGACTCGACTGATCTTGACGGCTGCTTCGCGCTTCAGTCCGTGTATCCGTGTTTGCACTGGGTGAAGAGCGGTAAACTGAGTGCAAACCAAACACAGATACACAGAGACTGAAGCGCGAAGCCGTGAAGATCAGTTGAGTCATCCGCGCTCATCGTTGCTTCCATGTTAGCGGGAAATAGCCGGGTTTAAAACTTCAGTACCAGAACAACACTACTACAGACAACACGAGGGTGTGCTGCAGAGGACTGCAGTGTTTTATCACTCACCGGGTTACATAGGCTGAAGCAGGAAAGCGTCCTCACAGTGTTTAACTAGTGCCATGAGCTGAAGCCTTGGAGGACACTTAAGCGTATCACTGAGATTGTGATCTTGTTTGATGCTAAATTGCTTTTATTGTTTAAAATAAACCTACTGAATAATATTAAAGAGATGGTTACACCATTTCTGCATTTTGAAATCTCGGCAACAGCTGGAGGTTTGTAGTACACAGCATGTTACAGCCATGTTTACAGTGCTGTTCCAATACTTCCAGGTTTCTTCCCACCGCAGCCTCGCTTTGGTTCTTTAAAATGGCGGCTGCGTGAAATAAGCGTATGGACAATGATCCTGTGCTGTAATAAGCATACACAGTACAGTAAATTATGTCAAAACAAACTTTTATTTTAGATGCAATTAATGGTGATTTATTTTTGCCTGCACTATTTATTAACACACACTCACACGATTGCAAACAATACTGGATTCTCCTATGAAATATTTGCATCATAAGTATATTAATTGTTGTATGAATGATAATGCATCTGCATCTTTTTTAATCGATTGACAGCACTAATATATATATATATATATATATATATATATATATATATATATATATATATATATATATATATATCCTTGTTAGGTTTCGGATCCCGAAAAGCGAGCACATGACCACCCCAGAGGCCTTAATGAATGAGCGAGATTCCTGGATGAAAGCCATCAGAGAACTGTGTGTGGACTGGAAACGAAAATCACAATTTGAAGACTTCTACGAAGCCCCTGACAGTGACTTTATCAATGTAACCGAGCCAGAAAGTAAGACTCAGAACAACCATGAGCCTCCACCGGTGCCGCCTTCACAGAGACCACGATTACCCAGAACACCCACAGCTGTGCACCCAGCCCTACCAACAACACCAGAGCCGCTGGAACCACTGGAGGCACCAAAACCACCTCGAAAGCCAAACCGCTCCACATTCTGCAGATCTGTAGCACTGCCCTTAACACCACCGGCGGCTGCATGTTCAACATCGCCTCCCACTTTGCCAATTTTGTTGCCTCCGGCATCACCTGTAGCATCAGGAGCAGTGCTAGGGCCTGCATCGCCTGTACCGTCTGCCCCGCCTGCCCCGCCTGCCCCCCCTGCTCCTTTGCCCCCTCCACTGCCCATCAAATCCAATCAGCTTTCAGAGAGGACAAAGGCTTTTCACTGGGACCTGGTGGCTCAGGATAAGGTATCTGTTCTTGTTGACCTCTTTTATCTTGGAGCTCCAGATTTTAGGTCTGACCAGCGATTTAGACTAGCCATGTATATACAATTGAACTCCGAGTTTTTAGCTCTCCTGAATTGTTAGCCCCCCTGTATATTTTTTTGCCCAATATCTGTTTAACGGAGGGATTTTTTTCAAACCATTTCTAAATTTAAAGGTTTAACTAGGTTAATTAGGTTAAGGTAAGGGTAATTAGGCATATCATTGACTTCCAGCTCTAACCCAGCATTGGGAAACACCCATACACTCTCATTCACACACATACACTGTGGCCAATTTAGCTTATTCAATTCACCTATAGCGCATTTCTTTGGACTGTGGGGAAAACACGGGGAGAACATGCAAACTTCACACAGAAATGGCAACTGGCCCAGCCAGGACTCGAACCAGCAACTTTCTTGCTGTGAAATGACAGTGCTAACCACTGAGCCACCGTGCCGCCTTTGTATTTTCAGTTATAAAACACAGATTCTGGTCAACTCTGTTACATCGATTTTAAAAAGGGAAAACAATCTGTAAAGCACTTATAGAAAAAGCATATGACTTGCTCCAAGTGATGTCTCTTCCTCTGGCAGGATACTCTAAAAGGCTTTGTAGCATGTTAATACTCGTATCTCATTCATTTCTTTAAAATATTTATGATAAACCAATATTTTCACAACACCGTTATTGTGATATTTCTGTGAATTTCACATTTAGAACATGATGAAAATACATCAAATTTAGTTTTTGTGTATGTGCATATACAGGGTGGGCCATTTATATGGACACACCTTAATAAAATGGTAATGGTTGGTGATATTATTGTCCTGTTTGTGTATGTGAGGGGGCAAACTTTTCAAGATGGGTGGTGACTATGGTGGCCATTCAGAAGTTGGCCATCTTAGATCCAACTTTTGTTTTTTTAAAAGGAAGAAGGTCATCTGACCCATCAAACTTAATACAGATACTGCATAGGCTTCCAGAATCTATAGTTTCAGGTGCTGCACATCTTGTACGTTCACCTCATTGACAACAAAGATAGTGGGGCCATTCTTCATCAATGGAAACCTCAAAGCCTCTGGATATTTGAAGTTGCTACATGATGATGTGTTTCCCTCCTTATGCACTGAAGCTGGCACGTTCCCTGAGTTTTTCCAGCAAGATGGTGCACCACCACATTATGGGTGTCAGGACCAAGCATTCCTAGATGAACAGTTTCCTGAACAGTGGATTGGTCATCGTGGGCCAGTTGAATGGCCTTCAAGGTCTCCTGATCTGACCCCCTTAGACTTTTATTTTTGGGGTCATCTAAGGGCAATTGTCTTTGGTGTGACGATACAAGATGTGCAGCACCTAAAGCTATGAATACTAGAAGCCTGTGCTAGCATTTCTCCTGCGGTGTTGCTATCAGTGTGTAAAGATTGTGGGAAGAGGGTTGCAATGACAGTCCAACACAATGGTCAGCACATTCAACACATTTTATAAGTAGTCAGAAAGTTGTAAACAACTTATGAAAGAATAAAGTAACGTTAAACCAAGCACACCATTGCTTTTCTTGTGAAATTCCCAATAAGTTTAATGTGTCAAATGACCCTCTTTCTATTGAAAAAACAAAAGTTGGATCCAAGATGGCCGTCTTTAAAATGTTTACCATGATCACCACCCATTTTGAAAAGTTTGCCCCCTCACATATACTAATGTGCCACAAACAGGACGTTAATATAGCCAACAATTCCCATTTTATTAAGGTGTGTCCATATAAATCGCCCACCCTGTAGAACATTTAACAAAAAGACCTCATAAACTCTGCGTACCCGGTAACGGGTCTGTGATGTAATTTGCTTCCGCATTCTTTAAATTTTAAAGGTCTGACCTGGCCTAACACCCTCATAAGTTATCTCATCAGTTGAAATCCAATAACTTTTGCATAGATTATGACGTGCAGCAACCACTAAAATTAATTACAGCAACCTAGACTACACAGAGTACCACAGGTACATTTTCAAATTTGAGATAACAAAAAAAGTGCCTTTTTTTGCAGGGGTTAATTATAACATAGACAACATATAAAGTTATTTTTAATCCCTTTCAACAGTGTTTTATGAAAATGCAAAGGGTTTTCTTTCAAATGATACCAAACACCTGTGCATGTGGATTTAGGAAGCTTCTAAATTTGGGTAGGCAAAATCCAGGCGGAAACCTCAAAGAAGCACTTGACTTACAAACTGGTCTTCAGTATCTTAAGTCATCATTTTTTATTGTTCATTGCTTAATACGATGAATAAAAATGTGATGGTGGCTCATTTTTCTTAACCTAATAAAAAAAATTACATTAATACTTATTTCAATAATTCATTCATTAATTTTTCTTCGGTTTAGTTTATTATTTATCAGGGGTCGCCAGAGCGGAATGAACCGCCAACTATTCCAGCATATGTTTTAAACCTTATATTCATAACCCAGTACTGGGAAATACCCATACACACTAATTTACACTCATACACACACTACAGCTAATTGGGTTTATTTAATTCACTATAGCACATGTGTTTGAACTGTGGGTAAAACCGGAGCACCCGGAGGAAACCCACGCCAACACAGGGAGCAGTTGCAGACTTAAGGTAAGCAGTCACTGACGGCCCCGGGGTATTAGGGTGCCCCAAACAATGCCAAGAAGCCTAAATTAATCATATAGCTCTTTTATTAATTTTCTTTTGCATGTTGTAAAATCTATAATCATTAAGATTTTAACATTATAACTTCTTTTAAAAACCTGGGTCCCCCATGAATAGTGGAACGTTCCTTCCATACCGCACATGCAAATATATTAAAATCACAAATATGGTTAATTTACCCCACATATAGTTTGTGAACTTGGCTTTTTTATTTATTAATTGATTGCATTTCATTTTACATCATGAGATAAAGATTCCACTTAAAATATATTTTTTAACGTGCAGTTTATTTACGAAAAAAATCAAATAAAGAAACTTTAGAAGAAAAAATATCTATAGAGAAAGAGAATGTTTTGAGTTTCAGTGCTAGGGCCTCATACCTGGAGTTGCTTAGAGCCCCAAAATCACTAAGTCTGCCCCTGACGGTGAGAACATGCAAACTCTACACAGAAAAGCCAACTGGTCCAGCCGGGACTCCAACCAGCAACCTTCTTGCTAGGAGGCGATGGTGCTAACCACTGAGCCACCGTGCCACTCTAATTCAAAAAATAAAAAGTGTATTTATATATTATTTCCATTGCTGCAAATTAAAAGTTAAAACAAAAATGTGTTAAAATGCAAAATAACTTTGTTATTAAACAATAAATGGGATCACACGACAATTAAGTGCATTTTGAATATTTGCTGTTGTATGTACTGGTTATACTGCACAATATTTAATAAATAATATGCTTAAAGTCATTTCAAAGCCTCACATTATTTCCGAGACCTTAGTTTTGGTGCAAGAAAGCCCCTGCAGGGCCTCATTTTTGTTAAACGTGTGTGATGATTTCGCTTGCTTATATATTCAGACTAAAATAGTCATTCAGTATTCCCTATTGCATGCGCAGCGTGGCCCTTTCATCAATGAAATAGTGCTAATATGTGATGGTTTTTCTGCCTCCTGAAGATGACTTGCAGTTAAGGCAGTTTTTTGATATGACATAATAGCATAGAAAATAATGGAGGTATTGACTGTTCCCTGCCTTTGCAGATTGAGAAGTCAATGTGGTCCCGCAGAAGCCTCAGGAAGATTGAAATTGACACCTTGCGCCTGTTCGAGCTGTTTGGAGTAAAAGAGACGGTCAACAGTGGCAGCTTGGAGTCCAACAGTACTATAGAAATCATGCTGAATTCAAAGATCGCCCACAATTTCAGTAAGTACAGTCACAAAATGACTTTTGCTGCTTGTTCAAACTACTTAGGTAAATTAAGTTAAAACAATCCAATTCTTACATTTTTTTTTTGGGGGGGGGGGGGGGGGCAACTTAATTGTTTTATGTTTAATCCACTTAAATTTGCTAAATTGATTAAGTTAACTTAATACATTTGTGTTGGGACAACATGAAAGAATCATGTGGAACCCAGCAATTTTTACAGTGTACCACACAACTCTATGTATCCATAGATCCATATTTTAATCCAAAATGACAATGTTTTGACCATGCAAGCTGCCAAATGCTTAATAATGGTCATAATATCCACATTATTGCTATGTCCATGATGCTTAAAGTAAATTGTGGAAGTAACGTCTTTTAAGCTGTAAACAATCTGTGAAATTTAGGGCTGTGCAATATTAAAGACAAATGTGATAGTGTGATAAATATGGAGATATTCGATATGCGATACTATATTAAAAAAAAAAAGTTTGTTTTGTTAACTTGATGCTTTACAGTACAATTTATAAATAATATTGCTAAATAATGCTAAATAATAATAATAATAATAATAATAATAAAGCTAAATAATGTGATATTCGATAAGCGATACTTTATTTTAACACTACAATTTTTTTTTTAAGTAAGCAGCCAGTTTTACTAAATAATAATGCTAAATAATGCTAAATAATAATAATAATATTGCTAAATAATGCAATGTTTGATGTGCGATACAATATTGAAAACAAAAAAAATTGAACCAACATGTTTTACGATGTTTTACACCACAATTTCTAAATAATAATTCTAAATAATAATAATAATAATAATAATAGAGAAAAATCAATTATATTTGATAAGCGATACTAAATATTTTCACTACAATTTTTTAAATTGAGCAGCCATGTTTTACTAAATAATATGCTTAATAATAATAATAATAATAATAATAATACTATTGCTAGATAATGTAATAAATTATATGTGATGCTATATTTAAAGATAATGTTTTCACCAACATGTTTTACATTGTTTTACACCCCAATTTCTAAGTAATAATGCTAAATAATAATAATAATAATAGAGCTAAATAAAGCGATATTCGATAAGCCATACTATATTTTTACACTACAATTTTTGATATTGAGCAGCCATGTTTTGCTAAATGATAATGCTAAATATTGATAATAATGTTGCTAAATAATGCGATATTCAATATGAAATACTATATTTAAAAAATGTTTTAACCAACATGTTTTAAAATGTTTTACACTACAGTTTCTAAATAATATTGCTAAATAATTCTAAATAATTCTAAATAATAATAATAACAATGCGATATTCGATAAGCGATGCTATATTTTTACACTACAATTTTTAAAATTGAACAGCCATGTTTTCTAAATAATAATGCTAAATAATAATAATAATAATAACATATGATCTGAATAATGCAATATTTTATAGGTGATACTATATTTTTACTACAATTTCTGAAATTAAGCAGCCATGTTTAAATAATAATGCTAAATAATGCTAAATAACAATAATATTGCAAAAAAATGCGATATTTGATATGCGATACTATATTTAAAAATTTATCTTGATAATAATAATAATAATAATTAAGATAATAATAATAATAGTAATAGTAGAGCTAAATAATATGATATTTGGTAAGTGATACTATATTTTTACAATACAATTTTTGAGATTGAGCAGCTATGATTTACTAAATAATAATGCTAAATATTAATATTAATAATAATAATAATAATAATAATAATAATAATATATTAATAATAATATTGCTAAATATTGCAATATTCAATGTGCAATATGATATTTAAAAAAAATTACATGTTAAAAAAAGCAACATGTTTTACACTACACTTTTTTTTTTTTTTAAAGAGCAGCCATGTTTTACTGTTGCTTAAAACAAATCATGCATTTGAAAAGGGTAAACAATAAAAGAGAGAATAAAAATCACTGCAACTTTGCTACACTGATATACTGTCGTTTTTTCATCTTAAAAAATAAAACAAATAAGACTTTCTCTTATTTCTCTTATTATATAAAAGACTGCGCTTTTTTTCCACACAGTTTCGATCTTGTCCAAACAAAAATGAAGTAAATTCCACATGTTCGCAGCAAACACATTGCATAATTTGCTTCTTTCACACAGCGAGACCGTAATCTACCTTTTTTTGCCTACCTGCATTGACTTGTATGCAATCTACTACTAAAATGAATTCCCCGTATGGTGTGAATCCAGCATAGAAGTGTCATTATCGCAGTCTGTTGGTTGAAACAGTGCATTTTGGTGTTGTCATGTGAACTGAGTACGGAGGAAAACTTCTTTTATAAAAATACCTGCGTTTGTGTGATATGGTCTGCGTAGCATATTTCAGAATTGCACAAATGTAAACAGCGCCGACTAGTGGATTTGTCCTTTGAAATGTGCAATGGTTGATAAAAAAAAGCCATGAAATACAGAAATAGCCATAACAGCTTTAAATGGAGATTAAATGTTGACAGATTTTCCTTGTAGTTGAACTATTCCTTTAAAGTTAAAGGATCTCTGCCTTCTGTTGTTGTCTGAAGAGAAATGTCAGGCTGTGTCTGCTTATAAATGCTGTATTTGTTGCTGGACTGGTGGAATCGGTCATAGTGGGTGGTTTATTGATCTCTGTGGGAGGATTAGAGCAGAAACAGAAAAGGGACCATTAAAAACCTCTGGCAGATTGACTTTGAATAACAATACATCTGACAAAAACAACTCACACATAGTTTAGTTGTCACATAGATTCTAAAGTTGGACAACAGTCTGAGTTGAAAAGCAAGCTTGTTCGCAGACAACAACACTGATTACTCTGTAGGAGAGAATTGCTTCTTGCGGTTATTTATTTATTAGTGCTGTTTTATTACAGGCTAAACTCACTGTTAGTATTGTTATCCTTCCTCACAATACAGGTTTCTAAAACAAAATACAGCAGTTTTAAAGCAGTTAGAAATGGAGCTGGCAGATTACAAAGAGATAGAATCCTTTTAGCCTACTTAGAAGATTCTAGTTCTAGAAGTTTGTAATGTATGAATGTAGTTTCAATGTTTTTGGATTTGTTTTTGAGAATACACACAGTTGAGCCAAAAAGTCTAATTCACACATTGAAAATCAAAACAATATTTAAAGCTGGAAACAAACTGCTTCTGCATGAAAACCTAGAAAATAAATGACAAGTGCGCAGCATATCCAGCATATGCTTTGCACAGCAGATGCCCTTCCAGCTGCAACCCAGTACTGGGAAACACTCACACACTTGGACATTCACACGAATACACTATGGTCAATTTAGTTTATTTAATTCACCTATTGTGCTAGTCTTTAGACTGTTGGGGAAATCGGCGCACCCGGAGTAAACCCACGCCAACACGAGGAGAACATGCAAACTCCACACGGAAATGCCAACTGGCCCAGCAGGGACTCGAACCAGAAACCTTCCTGCTGTGAAGCGACAGTTCTTACCGCTGAGCCACCGTGCCTCCCTGCGTTGTTTTTAATTAAAGATAAAGTACTTCAGATTCAGTTTTTGAAATGAATTGTTGATAGAAATAAAATACAATCAAATACTGTAGTATGAAATACAAAACTATTAAATAAAATAAGACATTGCCTTAGCATCCGGCTGAAATCAAAACCAGTTTTAGTTGCTAAATATAAAGGTAAAAGTTAAATAAAAGTGTCAATTAAATTATTCAATTCAAATTACATAAAAAATTATAAAAATAAATAAACAAAAATAGAATTGTAAATTTCCTTACCTAACTGAAATTAAAAATCATTTTAATTGCTAAATCTAAAGCTATACTAACAAAATTAAGTGAAATAAATAACAGAACAAACAATCTAATAAAAATGTCAATTAAATTCTTAAATTCAAACGAAATTATATTTTAAAAAATATATTAAAAAGCTTATTTGACAATAAAACCTAAAAATAATATATTTTACATAAAATATATTTAATTAACATATATAATTAAGATATATTGAATAAAAGCAGATAAAAATTACTATAATAGTGTATACATAATCAAATACCTGATATTGATCACTGAAATTATAAGTTTTACTTAAACTACATTTTTTAAAAGGAAACTACAGTAGTGCATTTTATTTTAACCCTCCTGCTTACAGGATTTGCCTTTGAAAATATCAAGGCTAGACAGAACAAACTCTCAAAAACCACCCCAGAAAATATCTCAGCCAGATGAATCTGAACACATCAGAGAACACATCTCTGAAAGCTACAACTAGGTGGCAGTGTTGCATCAACCTGACAGGTGCGCTGCTGAGAAATTGCAGCAAAACAAAAAGTTACTGCAACAATCCTGTGCCCTCCGAGTGATGCTCAAGCATAAAATATGTTGATTCATCACACTTGGCTTCAAGTGTTCTGTTGAAAACAACTCTTTGTGATGCATGTTTCCCAGAAACCAAGCTCTGTTGTGGATAATAAGCGTGTTGATGTTCTCTTAAGCTCTTCAGAGGAAGCGTACACTTTGAGCTTGTTTATTTGTGCGTAATTTTGCTTGTTTTTTTGTTGCTCTTCACTTTTTACTTGATTTTTTAAATATTAAAAGTAGGTTTTTGTGATCTCTCCTACTGTATTAATATTTCAAGCATCCCTAGAAATGATACAAACACATTGAGGCCATTGTGCTCGGATGTTGGATTCCAACAATAAAACAAGCACAAGTTCCCGTCGCTTGAAACCTCATTCAGAGACGTTTCAAGAAAGCTATTTATTTTTACGAATTTCACTTTTTAGTTTTTTATTCAAGCAATTCACAGAGACCTAAATCAAGGCCTCGTCTGCTCAGGAAGAAAAGAGATGGGATTTCAAAAGCAAGCAAATCTGAATCTGTAAATCTGAATAATGATATTTTGGAAGAGGACTTGCCAGCAGGAGGAAGTCCAGCTAGAACAGACACTCTTTTTT